CGACCGATTCCGGCCACGGCGGCCAATCTCATTGAGACTAGCCAACTGCGCAGGAGATATTATAGTGCACAAGTGTACGCGCAGACACAAGTGCACTCTCTATTCCTGTCACTCTCATACTCCGGTGGGACGACTGCTCGACACGACCAGTGAGAGTTAAGGCGCAGGACCGACGGCTTTACGTGCTCTCCGAGGCACGGGGGTGAAACACCGCCAACTTCCCAACTCCGGGCTGTTACTGAGGCTTACTTATACAGAAAGACTCAATAACTAAACTTGGCCCGACCCGGGACTCGAACCCAGGACCTCCGGGTGTGCAGCCGTACATGCTAGCCACTACACCACGGAGGCAGTTAAAAAAACTATTGATGATGTTCTCCTAGCCGATTCCGGCCACGGCGGCCAATCTCAATGAGATTAGCCAACTGCGCAGGAGATATTATAGTGCTCAAGTGTACGCGCAGACACAAGTGCACTCTCTATTCCTATCACTCTCATACTCCGGTGGGACGACCACTCGACACGACCGGTGAGAGTTAAGGCGCAGGACCGACGGCTTTACGTGCTCTCCGAGGCACGGGGGTGAAACACCGCCAACTTCCCAACTCCGGGCTGTTACTGAGACTTACTATAAAGGAAGACTCAATAACTAAACTTGGCCCGACCCGGGACTCGAACCCAGGACCTCCGGGTGTGCAGCCGTACATGCTAACCACTACACCACCGAGGCAGTAATATATAATACCTACGTAAACTAAAAGCTGAGTGATAAACCAAATTTAAACAAAATGTAACGATAGTATTGCAAACTAATACTATTTAAATTAAAGTTTTAGGCATTATTCTGCTATTTTCTCTAAACATTTTTTACAGAATTTCACTTAGTTGGGGAAATAACTCAAACAGTGCCTGTTCATCATACTCGTAGCAGCGAGTACTAGAACTGAAAAAATCTCAAAATCTGTATAAACATAAAACAGCCCGTTTTATACTACTAAGCAAAAACATGATGCGTTTCAGATGAAATTATAAATGAAATATACCGATATATCATTCAAATTAATTCAATGACAAACTTATGGTATTGTAGGAGCATGCTTATTGAACCGTAAGGTATATATTGACCACATCAACAGTTAGGTTAAGTTAGATTTAGTCTAAGACCAATACAATTAGAAACAATAAGATATTTGTTTATAATAAGCTTATCTATGATAATGTAAATCTAAGACAAACAGGCTCCAGTGAACATCTGTCAAAGTAGAAAAAAGACGTGATACTATAATTTTCTCTGTCCCTCTTTTCTTGTCTCTGATATACTTGTAACTAAGTCAAAATTCCACAAATATGATGTATAAAAAATATTAGGTATAAGTTTAAATTAAATTATAGGAAGTGGTAACTCACTGGTTACGTGCGTTCTTGGAAAACCAAGTGAAGCGGGTTCGAATCCCAGCTCTCACACATCATTTTCAACTGAATCGCCCGGCTGAACTTCCGGACGCTAATGAGCTCCCCCACCATGACAACGCTAACGCACGTTGGGGAAAATAGTTAAAACCCCTGGCTCCCGAAACGTCAACACCTCGTCTTGTCGTCGCCACTGGAATACCATTATAGATTTTACTCGAAGAGTCGATATTAGGTATCAATGGGCTCATATTACTATTACCTATTATAAATGCGAAAGTTTGTATGTATGTGTATATTTGTTACTTCTTTACGCAAAAACAACTGATTTAACAGATTAGAATAAAATTTAGCACACAAATAGCCTATGATCTGGAGTAACTCATAGGCTACTGATGGACACCTAGAGACGCACCTGAGAAAATCGAGAATAAGTCACTGGTTGTATTATAAATAAGTAAAATTTATATGTAAGACATAATCACTTAAAAATAGGGAATCGATACTATATATGCTTTAGCTAAGAAAATCTCCTCCATTCTCATTTGCTGGGTATTAAGGCCTTTTTTGCCTATATATCACATGCACAGAGGAAAGTAAATTAGCTACGTATATAAAAGATATTTATTAGATTGGTAGTAAGTATAGGAAATAAATTATTCACAAATGTTAGTTTATGTTTTTGTCACGTTTTATATTCTGACGTCGCACTGAAGAAGGTCATGTTGCCGAAGTAAATTACTTATAACGCCTATTGCTTAACTGAGTATCCTTTGCTTTTTATGCATCGTGTAATAAATGGATGTACAGAAAATATTACAAAATCAATAAAATTAATGTGCGAATCTAAATATTTCAGAATGGGCGTATCGTTCAGAATCATTGTAGTAAGTTTGATTTCGTGTGATGTAAAATCAATATTTTTGATATATTAAAAATATAATTAGATGAAAAATAAGTTTCAAAAGACTATTAGGTAACTATTAGAAGGTATAAAGTCGTGTAGTTAGCATGAATTTAAAATACAAGAAAATTTAAATACGAGTATAATATTTTTTTAAATGTTTAAAAAACAGGCTCTTTTTGTTGTTTTTTTTTATCTTATTTAATTCATTCATTAAGCATTAAAATAATTTTAAAATCGATTTTACTATACTTCCAATTACTATCGTATCGATTTAACAATTATTAAGGAAATGTAACCTAGAAGAGAACAAATTAATTTGATATTCTGAAGCTTTTGGAGGCAATACATAGATAGTGGACCTAAAGAAATGTTACTAGTAAAAGCTTTCTCTGGGCTAACTGATCTGTTTTAACGAGCCCCATACATTACAGTTCAAAAATCTATTTTAAAGCTATAATCTTATAAATGTGAAAGTTAAGATGTTTGGATGGATGTTTGTTACTCAATCACGCCAGACGACTGATCGGATCTGGATGAAATTTGGCACAGAGATAGAATATATATTATTATGTCTACAATAGCATATAGGCTAGCTTTTTATCCCGGAAAATGTACGATCCCGGGGAATATATTTGTTTTTGTGTGTGGCTTAGCATTACTTAGTTAATATATATATATATATATATATATATATATATATATATATATATATATATATATATATATATATATATTATATATATATATAACAATAAAAGTTAATGTAATGTGGTATTCAAAGTTTATTGCAAATTTTTAGTTTGTATTCTAGCAACGTATCAGCAGGCTACGTAAGTCTATGCGTAAACAACTACATCCACTATCTGCAGTCGCACGCCACTAATAGAATCTACTTATGGCAAATATTTAACGCCCTCGCTATCGAGCATAGAGTTTACGCCCATATTGAGGTATGATGCTTTTTTTTGTATTTTACCCATGAAATAATTACTGATAATATAATTAGGTTCATCCTTCTTTCACACAACAGCAGTCTTTAGTTGGTCCGATACATTCGTGGTTCTTGTTAAATAATACAATTTCAACAAATATTTGGACGTTTCGTTAGTTACGTATAATTTTTAACCTAATTAATAAAACGACACTATATTGTATATATTAGTGTTTTGTATGTATGTTCATCACTTTCATATAGACGGTTTAACAAATCTTGATAGTTTCAATTATATTTTATTTAAGGAGTCCCATAGACTTCTCTTCGACAAAGAACATGTTTTTAAGAAAATTAGAATAAATTATGAAATTAAAATAATCAAAATTTATTTAATCCTTATGTCAGTTTTAAAATTATTAATTTATTTTTTTTAGTACCTTGAAGGCATTTTACATTTTACTTAAAATGTTTATTTGAGTGAGCTGAAATTATCAAAAAAAATATAATTACACGTCATTTTGTAACTTTTTTTAGTTATTTATAAAGTTAAAACCTGTTTTATTATGTAGAATATTATTTCTGATTTCTAATACTAATATTAAATCATCTCAGTTTCGTGCCACTATAGTTTGTTTTCCCTTGAAGTAAGTAGGATCAATTAAAAATAAATTTCAATGACATTCACATAATTACTATGCGTTTTAAAGAATACTATTATTTTCTTTTATTTACTTCATTTAGCATCTTAATATGCTATAAAATCTAATAGTTTTGACTTTTGTATCTGAAATAAAAATGAATAACTTGTAAACCATAAAATGTTAAATTTTAGAGAAAATATATAGTCGTAATTATCCATTGACAACACTGTACATATTTTTTTATATTTTTTTCTTTTCTACTTGCTACATGTATAAATCTAATTCATAATATATCAAAATTTACATGACACATAACTAATGACAAAATCACCGATCGTCATGTGTTAAGGTCAAGGTTTTAAGCAGGCGATAGCCATTCCGCATCACTTAAAGTAAAGGTTAGTGACAAATATTATAGGTCATTTCCGCGACTTTCTTTTTATTAACCCCCGACGCAAAAAGAGGGGTGTTATAAGTTCGACGTCGATGTCTGTCTGTCTGTGTGTGTGTGTCTGTCTGTGGCATAGCTCTGAAACGGATGGACCGATTTCGATGCGGTTTTTTCATTTGAAAGCCAGTTTCCTTGCGGTAGTTCTTAGATATGTTTGGTAAATGTTTGTTAATACGGTCGAACAGTGTAAGAGTATCAGCTCTTTTCCAAAATGATATAAGGCATTTTGGCGTACGATTACTCGATTAAGTGCTTCACGCGTGCCAGTGTAATCGTTAATTAATGACCATTAATTTGCGTTGGGGTATTTTTAAATTTTTTATTTATAATTATCTTGAAAACAGTTATATAGAAAATCAAGTATAAACCTCGGATCTTGGGACTCTGATATTCTTATTTACCAATATGATTACCATTTGCCTTGCGGGGAACTGCCTGCATGTCTGAGAGAATCTAACTAGATTTAGAAAAACATATGCAGTATGCCTACCTGCACTCTTGGTGAAACTTTTAAAAGTACGAAATACATAAAAAAAGTAAAAATTAATATAAAAATAAATTATTCTTTATAATAATTGCTACATTTTTATTATTATAAATAATTGCCTACATCTCAATAAGCAAACTTGTAAATCATTATAAAATTATTATACTCACTTTTTAAAGCCCATCTCTTGTTTAACAGCAGTCCATCCAGAAATCGATAGCCTTGTTCCCTGCAAACTTTTTCCTTTACATTTGCTACAGCACTTGTCAGTGATAGCAGATCACTAGCCAGTACGACAGAGGACGCGTAATCTGGAGATTCATCTACAGAATTCACTATGGGGGTGTCGGACTTCCCCGTCACATCTTCGTACACGTTATAGCCTACATCTTTATCTAAGTTCTTATCTCTTATGTTATTATTGAGCGACTCCAATAATCTATCAATTAAATCTTTGTCAACACCTAAATTTTCGGCAGTCCGGTTTAGTCTAGCTATATCCCGCGAGTCTAAATTGCCATTAGCTAAAATTGCTGTTAGCCTTCTTAAAACTCGTTGATCTATGTTCGTATCATTTAAATTATTTTCTATGGCGGCAACCGCGCACGCGATCGTAAGTAGAACTCCGATCGAGATCATAGTGAAGGCGTGCGCACGCGCCGCTTCTGTTTACCGACTGAAGATTGCCTTTAAGTTTTGATCAATGAAATCTAAATGCTTTGTTCACAGTGTCCTGTGACCATTACCGTATTCTAATTGATTCATTGTTTGATCGGACGTCATTTCTAGTAACAGCGCGCTATGGTTTTGCAAATTATAACATCACTAGCGGTACCCGCGGCTTCGCTCGCGCTAAAACTACGAAAAAATCTCTATAAAAGTAGTTTCATACAAACTTTCATCCACTATTTCCCCCTTATAGGATGAATTCCAAAAAATGCTAAAACACGTATTTACTTAATTTTATTGAAGAGCATTAATACCTAGTTTGAAGAAGGACAAACAAATAAACACACTTTCACATTTATAATATTAAAGTATAAATATATTATGGGTTATATATATGTTTTATTTTATTTTTGAATTTTATAAATTTTAAATAAGTTATACGTGTATTTTAATTAGTATATATATATATATATATTATTTATTTATTAAAATATTAAATAATTTAATTAAATAGATTTAATCTCGAACAAAAGATCTACGAAAACGTTAATTATATAGAATGATTTACCATATAAAGATACCGATCACAAACTGTACTGCGTTCTATGGCACTGAGTTCGAGCGGCTGACGCATCGCTGTTTCTATCATTTTTTGCAGTTGTAATTACTTCTATGTAATGTTTTTATAATAAACTAGCAGCTCACCTTCGCTTCGCTTGGGTTCGCCTCTAGAAAAATACTAATAGAGATCTATTAGCTCCCACGAGAACCGTTCATTTTTTCGGAATGAAAAATAACCTGTTGTTTGACCGGCAATATATGGAATCAGAATGTTAAATTTTACTAAATTAGGTGCATAAGTTGTTCCCCCCCAACGTGCGTTCACCTTGTCGTGGTGGGGGGGCTCAGTAGTAGTAGCGAAGCTAAGAAACGCACAGGGAGGTTGCCCACTTCGGTGGGCGGTGGGAGGTGGCCCTCTTCGGGGGGCGGTGTACCATGCGGGTTGCTCCTGGTACTTCTCTGATAGCAGAGTGGACCTTGGAGCAACCCCATGGTTGTGGTGGTCTGCTTCGGCAGACCTGCCGTCGGGGCGTCGTAGTTGAATGCGTAAGCGATCCTGCGACACCCGATTAAGACGGGGGAAGGTTTTGTTGGGTTTTAGTGGGTAGTACTGGCTGTATTACGCCGGTGAGTCCCACACGTCGTGCGTAAATGCATTTCCCAACGTTAAAAAAAAAAAGGTGCATAAGTTGTTGTGTGCTAAGCTGTATAAGATTTATTAGAACTATTTAATTTTCCGAGATGCAAAATTTCATTTAAATCGGTCCAATAGATTCGGATATTAGCCCTTACAACTACAAACAGACAGAGAAACAAAAAATTTGAAAAAATCTGGATTTGTTCTATTTGTCTTCTTACATCCCCCTAACTCAGTTTTTAGCATTTTTTTGCTATGTACAGACATTCGACCTCTACTGTTTTATTATAGTATAGATTAGATTTAAAAAAAAGTATGTAATTATGTTTCTTTTGAACTGGCGTATAATCTGGTATAAAATTTACTTAATAATATTAATATTGTAAGTGTGGATATATTTACAGCTAATTCTGAACGTTTTTAAAAGTTTTTAAGATTTTAAAAAGGGTTTTTTTTGTAGAAATCCAATACATATTTTCAAATTCCGAGGCCGCTATAAACTCAATCACTATATACAAAATGTTATATATTTTCCATTTCGTTTGCTTAGTATATATAGTACTTCAACCCATGAGCTTGAAAAAGTGTCGTCGTGCATTTTATTACCAGCTAGCTTCTGAATTTTGGCTTTATTTCAATTAATAATGAAAATTTGCGAAAAGCGAGGCCGGTATGAACTACATTAATAACTATTCTCTACCATACAATAAGTCAAAATTTTCGAAGAGTTTCAGTTTATATGAATATAAACCTTTATGAATATAAACTCAAAGATGGACATAAAATTGAAAAATCACAGTCATAATGTAATAGGCCTCTTAAGCACTACTATACAATGGCTCTTAATAGAATTCCTATCGTCATATTGTAAATTATTATAAATACTCTAGTATAAATTATATTGTTACAGCTGTTTCTTGCAGGTAAAAGCAAAATTGCTTAATTAAGAAACTTACTCGATGTTCTCTTATATTCACCGCCTTACAGTTTATAGCACGGTAACAGGATAATTCAAACTTAATATTCAAATATTCAAATTAAATTATCCCTACGATAAATAATTAAGTAAATGATGAAAGTGAAATATATAATAATAAGTATTTATTTCAGATCAATATATAATCCATAGTAATTAGATGTTAGAATATGAAAATATGTAATTAAAGAATTACATAAAATAATCAACGAATCTCAAGGCTGATTGATATAATAAGAGTTGAATATGATAAAAACTTAGAACACACAAGTTTTCTAATATAAAAGTAAAACCTGCGACTTCTAATGCAGGAGACACTATCAAGTATTACATAATTATTATTAAACAGCCTCTTCTTCTCAATATAACTAGGTATAATAAAGCTGGTTATTTAAATCGACACAAGTAGTAAATTTTTAAAAAGCTATCACTGCTGATTTAACAGGAATAACAAGTTCTTGGTCACGTTTACATTTTTATGTAATACTAGCGACTCATCCTCGTTTCTCTCGGGTTCGTCCCTACTTACGTTTTAACGTTTAGTATCGATTTCTCAGTGATGAGATATTTCCCGCAGTAAAAAGTATCCTATATGTTGACTCGGATAACCAGCCATCATCATACCAAATTTCATCAAAATCCCTCCAGTAGTTTTTTCGTGATGGGTAAAAACTATAGATTCAGCCACTGTATCGGTAATAATGTCTATTTCAATAGGATTTTCCAAAAAATATTTAATGCACAGATTCCGTTTAGTTACAATTTTATTATATGTATAGATTTTATTAGCTGACCCGACCTACGTTATCCTAACCAAATTTCAATAAAGTTTGTTATCTTTAAGTAAAGCTGAAATCCTATAGATTTTTTGTAAAGGATCTTCCGTTTGAATATTTCCAATTTATTCCCTAAAAATCTTCTTCTTCTATTTTTATTTATATAGAGAGATTAATATGTAATAATTAATAACAATGTAATGACGAAAAAAACTGTTTGTAAAATGTTTCTGTGTAATAAAAGCACAAATTTTTGTCTGTTTGTCTGTGAACTCGAGAATAGCTAAATAATGGGCTGTCCTTCTCAATTCAGTAACAGTTCAAATAAAAAAATAACTAAGTTCCTTTTTAGGGTTACGTACCTCAAAAGGAAAAATAGAAACCTTATATTATCCCTTCTTTGTCCGTCTGTCTGTCGCGTACTAGCGTCGCATCGGTATGCGAGTCAGACTTGCACTTATCAGATTTTTTAATTAATCAAGTAGATCCATATATTACGCTAATGTTCCGCATTCTATGCGCTCCCATATAAAGAAAGTGTCATATAGATATTATGTACTAAGCTGAAGCGTCGTTAATGTATGGCACCAGATCTTAAGGTCCTGAGTTCGAGCTCCGGGTCGGGTCAAAGCTGCTAGCTTTGTCAGTAACCAAATATTCATGTCTCTTGTAGTTGTGTCTTGTGCACCATAATCGCCATCACTGAAGTCGGTTAAGAATACATTATTATGTACATATCCAGTTATATACACACAAAAATCCACTGAAATAGCTTGTGATAAATAAAAAACTAACACCGCATGCAATTTCTGCCTTATTATCTATCGACACAATGACACTATCAGATACGTATTCCCATTCACATGTCGTAGTCATTTTAATGTACTATATATTTATAATGTTACACTAAACGAATTATTGATTATTTATAGAATTTTACCACTCTCTACATTAAACATCATCCAGTAGTAACTGAGAGTTTTCCTCAAAACTCAAAACCTATCGAGTGGGGTATCAAAATAAAGTATTTTCTGAATTGTTTACAAAAATATATGCAACTTATATATTTAGATGTATTTTGGAATGAAAATGCTAAAAAACAAGATATACAAATTTTTTTTACAAAAATAAAAAATAAACCGACTGCGTAAAAAGCGAACTCTAAAGATGAAAAAAAACCAGTTAGCGAAAAAACATCGTATTATATAGACATAACACACGCAGCTATTATAAAACATGTACATAACTCATTAGCTCACTATTACAAGGTTCTATGTTACAAGTTTTAGTACTTATTTAGTTATTAATGCTACAAGGTTCTATGTGTCATTAGCTACAGTTTTGCAAAAACAAACCACTAGATAGCGGCACTATAACTACAAAATATTCAATTTTACATAGTTCTATGTTGTTTTTTTACGATAACAAAATAACGAAGTTCTATGTAAAAATTACTAAACTTCATTAAAATTAACATAGAACCTTGTAATAGTAAGCGAACGAATTATGTATTATGTATGTCTAACAGCATAATACTATGTTCTTTAGCCAACTTGTTTTCATCTTTTTAGTTCGCCTTTTACGCAGACGAATTTTTTATTTTTGTAATTTTTTTTATTTTAAGTCATTGTGTTGAAGAGATTGTTCTGAATCAAATTGATTATCTTTATAATTTTCTTACTTTTGATCATCAAAAGATATATTTTCTTTCCTTACATCAAAGCAAAGTTGAAAGTGTTTAATTAAAATGTCATTAATTTAAATTGTACACGTTAAGTTATTTATGGATTTTTATTATTAGTATAGAAGATGGGAGAAAAACTCCCATAGTGTTACAATATTTAAATATATTCAACTGATAAATTACAATAACTTGTCCTATTATATGTATATTACATGTTATATAAAAAACCGGTGGTTATACTTAACGGTAGTTTATGTCCGGTTTAAAAAATACGCTTTTTGATAAGTTAAGAAACTATATAATGATCAAAGCTGAGTAAAGGTCATTAACAATCATATACATATAGGTTCTTACGTTTATTTAATCTTTGTGGGTGAAAATTATTCATCTATTAAAATTTTTATTATAAATTAAAATCTCTTTATATTCTTTGGGCATAGTTTAAAAACTGGCTTTTATGGTAATTGTTTATTTATGTAAATCAATATTTAACTAATACTTACTAAGTGATGACAAAGATTAAGGAATCATTTTATTAGCGTTTAGATATTACGAAATTATATTTTCGTAAAATATCAAGAGTCTTTACTCTATATGGGTCTTTGTATGGACAAAATATCGATAAAAAATAGAGATATTAACTCCCAAAAAAATTCAATATGTTATTTGAAGTAGGTACCTGGGCAACCGAACATCTCTTGGGGTTTTTCGTAAAATATTTATAAATTGCGTTTTTTTTTCAGAAAATACCTACTTATATATAGTATAGATAAACTTAAACATCAAAACTCTAAATACAAAATTTGATCCAAATCGTTAGAACCGTTTCCAAGATGCATGAAATAAATTTATATAATATATACTTATAATATACAAGTATTGCTCATTATTATAAGATACTACCTCTGGAAAAAGAAAAACAAATGTATTCCTCGGGAACCGTACATTTTTCCGGGACACAAAGTAGCCTATGTGTTATTCCGGACTATAATCTATCTCTGCGCCAAATTTCATCCAGATCCGTTCAGGCGTGAAAAAGTAACAAACATAATCACATACTCACAAACTTCCACATTTATAATATTAGTATATACTAGTATAAATATTATAGATTTAGTGAAACTTTCCTACATACACAACAACAGCGCTGGATTTACATTAGGGGAACTCCTGGCTAGTGCCCAGGGCGTCAAATTGTTAGGGGCGGCAAAATTCGGAGGGCGTGAAAAAAAAATTCTTCACGTCATCGAAAATGCCATTTTTTCCAAAAAATAAAAAAGACTAACTAGTAGGTACATTTTTCGAAATATTTATATCATTTATAAATTAACTTCTTGAATTTTTCAAAAAAATTATAATTAAAAAAATAAATTTTATCTAAACTTTACCCATTTTATGCTATATTCGAATATTGAGGCGACATTTCGACATTTTCTACTATGCTCAGGAGCGACGCTAAGGTTGAATCCGGCACTGCGCAACAATTACAGCCGACTTATCTCCACAGTTGGCTAACGAACGTGTCTAGAGTGCGGATAGAGTCATGAGGAGGGCGCTTCCAACTATCATCTTACTAATATTATAAAACTCTGAAAGCTTAGATAGATGTTTGGATGTTTGTTACTCAATCACACCAGAACGGCTGCACGGATCTGGATGAAATTTGGCACAGAGATAGATTATAGTGTGAAATAGCACTTACTTTCTACCCCGGAAAAATGTACAGTTCCCGTGGGATAGATTAGTTTCTGTTTTTCTAAAGGCGAATCTTATTAATTTGATTTAACTAATAACAATTATACTCTCGACATGTGCTCATCATATTTTAATAAAGACTAATCTTATCGATTTCCACGTATTAATTCAAGGTAAATATGATATTTTATTAATTTATAATGCTCATTGTCGTAAAGTAGTAATGTTATAGTATAGATTTATATTAGTCGTACCTACTATATTAGAATTTTAGTTACCTATTATCCATTCATTATTATTGATACTTTTCATTTTCTAGCGTTGAATAAAGAACTTATATATTAATTAAATTAACATTAATATTATTATTAAAACATTTTGCACTAACATGTCAAAATGCTTAAGTAAATAAAATTGAACTTGGCTGGATACGCTACCGCGTGTCTTGATGACGTAAGCATGATAAATACGAATCGCGTAATACTAAATAATCATTTTATAATTTCCAATTTCTAGGCTAAAAATGCTAATTTATGAATACATATCCAGCAAACATACTCGTATGTATTATTTTATCAAAACACGGCTAAAAACTAATAAAATAAGATTATACTCATAAATATGTAAAATTATGTAAAGTTAATAATAAAAATGGTTAAGGAAGCTAAGAATAATTTTCATTACTGCAATAATAAAAAAATTGTTATTTCAAATTACATTTCGCTAATCATCGCCTTAATCGTTATTTTTATCATAAATTTATTTTATTATTTATATTTTACTAGCAGAACCCGCGGCTTCGCTCGCGCTAAAATTACAAAAACACTCTAAAATAGTAGGTTTCATACAAACGTTCATCCGCTATTTTACCCGCTTATGGGATAAATTTCAAAAAATGCTAAAACACGTATTTAATTCATTGTATAGAAGAGCATTATTACCAAGTTTCAAGTAATTCTGATCACAATTTTTTTTTTTGGATTGTATTATGACGTGTTTTCCCGTGAGAAAGAGATAATCTCCCGCGGTAAAAAGTAAGCCTATGTCACTCTCCAGCTCTCCATCTCCACATATAAATCACGCCAATACGCCAAGCCGTTTCGACGTGAAAGAAAGACAAACAAACAAACAGACAAACAAACGAATAAACAAACTAACAAACAAACAAACACGCTCTCACCTTTATAATATTAGTATGGATATGGATGTTGTTCATCAGGACATTTGTTACATAAATTGTACATTTATAAATTGTGATCAAACTTGTCAAGTAGAGAAATAAATCAAAATACTTACATATAATATGTATGTAAAGAAACAGAATCGAAAATTATTTTATTTTTCAGAGTTACATACATACTTATCCAAGTGACAAAAATGTTATCTACTATAACTTGGTCATTTGATTAATTGACCAAGCGAGCGAAGCATCTCCGCTTAAAGTCTCTGCTCTACTCCTCCACAGGTCTTAGCTTACAACCGACTATATTATTTTCCGATCACTAGAACACAAAAGTTGAATCGAATAAATACCCAGTGGAAATTATGAAAATACATATGTATACATATAATAAAATTGTAACTAAGCCGAATCTGTACATTAAATATTTTTTGGAAAATCTTATTGAAATAGACATTATTATCAATACAGCGGCCGAATCTATAGTTTTTAGAATTTTTGTCTGTCTGTCTGTCTGTCTGTTACAGCATCACAGAAAAACCACTGGAGGGATTTTGATGAAATTTGGTATGGTGATAGCTGGTTATCCGGGACAACATATAGGATACTTTTTACCGCGGGAAAATATCTCATTTCGGAGAAAAAATACAAAATTGTAATGTAAGAGTATACTAATATGTAAAACCTAAGAATTTGGATTTTGGTTATCTGAACGCGGGCGGAGCCGTGAGCAATGCTAGTATTTTCTATAAGCGGCTATACAATAATATAGACATATAATCTAGAGCTTCATACATTGAGCGAACGAAAAGAAGCAGAAGCGAGTACAATTTTTAAAGGATCTTTAAAGATGATAAGAAAAATAATGTTTTTTTTTGATTTAATAACTTATGATTTTGCGCTTTTAAATCTTAGGTAAACAGTGTTACTGTTCCGTATACGGAATATTTGTATTTTTCATACAATATCAATCGCTCTATAGTATGCAATGACGAATGTTGAACGTGATACGTTATTTTAATAAAAGATCATTTAACAACTCGATACACTAGTAAGCATTACAAGTGTCCACACAAGGACGACGGTATCACAAAGTATCACCAAGTCAATTTCCGTAGAAGTCTGCGTCATCTGTTAGTTCATTCATAAGCAAAAGATGTGTTGTATCCATGTATTCGGCTTTATTTCAATGTAATTGAATTATATTATTACTAGCATTGCCCGCGGCTCCGCCCGCGTTCAGATATCCAAAACCAAATTCTTAGGCTTTACATATTAGTATAGTCTTACATTGCAGTTTTTGTATTTTTCTCAGAAATGAGATATATCGATAATAATGTTTATTTCAATAAGATTTTCCAAAAAATATTTAATGACAGATTCGGCTTAGTTACAATTTTATTATACGAGTATGTATAGATTGTAGTGACTTGACGTAAAAGACACATATACATTTTTTTTTATAATTTATTAGTCTTTATATTAAAAAAGTATATAAATGTAAATAACAATTGATTATACGAGTATATCAATAGTTATTCAAAATAAGTTCAATTTCATAAATAATACGATTACTTTCATTTCTAGTAATTGCAATGAACTTTCCATAATTATACTTCAAAGGATAGTGGCATTTTAATATGTATTAATATTTTGTACTATATTATTTATATCCTGGTTTAAAGAGATTGCCCTTTAAGAGACGGAAGTCTTGTACAAGAAAGGCCCATCGATGGATTTACTTAAGATCTATAACTTTATGAAGTAACGTACAGAAAGAAATATAACAATTTATTAAAATATTTTAAAGTTTTAATAGTTTAGTATGTATTTATTGTTTAAAAATGTTGCTTTTTTGCCTTAATGGCAGGTCCCATTTAAAATGATGAATTATGAGATGAAATCAAGATTATATTATGTAAATAAATATAAATATAAAAATTCGTTACAATTTTTTTTTATATTTATGATAAAATAAAGCATAAGCAATAATCGTATGTATAAAGATTTGTATAAAAATGATCGTTAAGTAGGAATAATGCGAGTTTTTCTGTTCGATCGTGTTAAATTTGCAGCAACGCCATCTAGTGATAAGACGAGTCAGAATAATTGTTTCACTAATTTCACTTTAACGTCCAATTCAACAAAATTTTGTCAGACAATTAACAAAACAAGATTAAAATTACACTTATAATTTGTATTTTGTAAGTACCTATGTTATGGCAAAAATGCAACACGTCCTTGATAAGTCGAGCTTCCGTCTACATTTAAATTCCAAAACAACAAAAAAACTACGCATATGAATTCATAAATATGCCTATTATGTCTTTCTTCTCAAACTTATAAACACATTAGTCAAATAAAAATACATAAGAGGAAAACATTTATTTAAATATTACATTTACTATCTTCTGTATTGAAAGTTTCGACTCCCCGTCTCATTACCGTTTGCGGTCCATTCCCATTCGTCCACATCTTGATTATTTGATAACGATCGTCTCGGTAAGTAATCTCCTCTGTCTGCCCAAAAATCTTCTTCTAGATCTTCTTCACCTTGTTCTTCTTCGATTATTTCAAGATCTTCATCTAATCTATCTTGTTCTTCTTCTAGCGTATCATCCTCCTCTAAAATTTCTTCCAAACCCTCATGAGCCTCTCTCTGTATTTCGTATTCTACCTCTACTTCTGGAATTTCTTCTAGAACTTCTCTATGAGCTATGAACGACCTCTTTATTTGAGGGACTTCCCTTACCACTTCATTATCGTCTTTCTTTTCAGTCTCTAATTTATTTTTTATCGGATCTGACTTAGAGTTTTCTACAGGGGTGTCTTCTATTTCATTAGATTTAAATATTGAAGATATTTTGGGTAATGACTGAAGTGGTATTACTAATGTTACTGTTAAAAGTATTGAAGATAGTAGTATCGTTGAAATTTCTTCTAAGTCAAACTAAAATGAAATAAAAGTATTGCATTAAATATGAAATCATTAATAACTATTTTCTTATTATTGTTTGGATTAACAATCAATTAATTTTAGGCTACAATGAATATAGAAAATATATTAAATGTATAATTAAATAAGTATTTCGTTGAGTTTAAAAAAATAAAATGTGTAATAATAAAAACAGGTTGATAAAAATTACACAACTCGTATATATATTTTTGCTGCTCTAGGCATGTCAAACATTCGGGAAGCGAGTAATACCTACTATTCGTTCAGTTAAACTGCTGTTTTGGTAGTAATATGGATTACTGCGTTATTTGTACTGAACTTCACAGCAGCAAATTTATAATATGAAACAAGTACACAAGTTATTTGTATGCCATCGAACTTCACTTCAAGAGATTCATATGATTATTATAAAAAATATATTGACAGCCATGGAATGGCTTTAGCCATTAAGTTAAACTTTATTTTTAAAGTTTGACCTAGCATAATATATAATTATTAAAACCTTACCATTGACATAAGAGAAAATTCCTTACTAGCCCTGATAGTGGCAGTGTTTGTTAGAAAAACGATAAACTGGATAAGGTAAAGCGCGTAAGAAATTCGACTTATAAAAAGAAGTGGGCGACAGGAGAGCAGGCGAGATAAAATATCTGAAACAAAAGTTTTCATTTTTAATAACAGGAACCGTAAGTCATTAAAAATAATAAATATTATAGAAATCCAAGAACAGAAATAACTACGAGTATCTATACTTTTCCAACTTTGATTTCCGATAACGTAATAATGATAATAATGGACCTTCGCGCAAATTGTTTGTAATTTAATTATTATTTTAGTCGTATCTATAAAAATCATCTGCATTGAAAACGTAAAGAAGTCTTAAAGCAACTATAAGGATGTAAATTAATTAATCATTACGTTCTTAAGCTGCGATTAAAAAATTTAAAGTAATTTAAAAAATGGAAAAGCCAAGTCTTAAGCGAATATCTTAAATGCAACAATAAAAGAGATATCCTACAGGATTTTTGGAAAACTGTTCCATAACTACGTTCTTCTTGCAAAAAATCACATTAATTCGTTGTTGAGTAAAAGAAGACCGGCAAACATAAATATTTTTCCAATTTTTTGTTTTTTTCTTACTTGATTGTCCATTATGAACAGCATAGATGAACCAGGAGAAGGCAAGAGCAGTGGCTATGGGGGCCAATGTGGCGTAAAGAGCAGAAAACGTGACGTCATAATGATAATCTAAGTACCCCGAATCCGCTCCCGCCCACAACACTAGTCCCATCAAAGTGCCACAGATGAACCAACCCATGATGTTTAGAATCTACAAAGAAAACAACAATAGTTAGGTATAATAAATTTTGTCTTGGTATAATAATATTATTATTTTGTTTATAAAATTTAAAAACCAATCTTATTGGCGCTAACTGTAGCCTATATGCTTTTCAGTCCATAGTTTATCTACGTATTAAATTTAATTTGAATCCGACGAGTCGTTCTAGCTTGATAAAGCAACAAATATACAGAGACGTGCATATATCCACACATTTTCACATTTATAATAATTGTTATTAATGATATTATTTAATAATTATAACTAATATTCGAGTCCGCGACCTTTGATGTAGGCGCGGTATTAAAGTGAAATAAATAAACAAAAAACATAGAGAAATATTAACTTATAAGAATTATTAGTTATAATATAAGAATCACGTAGCTCATTTATCTTAAAACACAAGATTTTATAAAATTAAATACCCCACCTTAGTCGGTAATCAAACCCGATATTCATAAAAAAATTACACTCTATTGCACCAACCAAGTGTCGCATATAGGATAAAATACTCATACTAGAAAGTGATAACTGATTATATGATGACATATCAATCGAATTTCTACCTTCTCATACTTTCTTCACTTTTCACTCATTGCAATTAAATAGTTCTTGAAAATTAATAAAAGTGATGTTATTTACCTATTATTTTTTTATCCGAGTGCAGCATAGCCTTAATTTAGGTCAGTTGCATAAATATTATATGGAAAAAATTGGCTCGATGACGCTTATACTTTTGTTTTTTTTTAACTTTTCTTAGTTATTAAGCTTTAAGGGGGGGAGGGGGAGGGGGCGAGTAGTCGTGATTTTAATATTTAATCAGTCGGCATTTTAACACAAAAAAAAAAACAACTTTTCGTGTTCTTTACTCAGTAACATTTTCATTTCCCATAACCAACCTACTTACATATTTTAGAACTTGATCTACATAATAAGCCAAAACAAAAATGCCAAATCAGTCCTTCATTTCCTTAGAGAGGGTCCTCAAAGTTTAAACTCGGTCCTTGCTTGTTTCATAAGTCTTTGACGATTGAAGGGTTATTTTGAGTTAATTAGGATCTTCTTTAACCTTGTTTTCCTTCAACTCGAATTTTATAATATTATCTTTAGAAGATAACAAAAATAATTTCGAATAAGATTTTAGAATTATCTTATTCGAAAATACTCGTATATCATTAACACATTATATAATAGACTAGCGACTCACCCTCACTCCGCTCGAGTTCGCCCCTGCTTACGTTTTAACTTTATATAGATTTCTCAGAGATGAGATATTTTCCCGCAGTAAAAAGTATCCTATATATTGATCCAGATAACCAGCTACCATCATACCAAATTTCATTAAAATCGCTCCAGTAGTTTTTCCGTAATGCGGTGACAGACATATATATAATATAATATATATATATATATATATATATATATATATATATATATATATATATATATATATATAATATAGACATATAATAAAAATTCTAAAAACTATAAATCCGGCCTCTGTATCGATAATAATGTCTATTTCAATAATATTTTCCAAAATATATTTAATGTACAGATTCGGCTTAGTTACAATTTTATTATAATATGTATATACAAGACAATTTATAATCTTATATATAACTAGCATTGCTTGCGGCTTCGCCCGCGCTCAGATGACTAAGAACCAAATTCTTAAGTTTTACATATTAGTGTACTCTTACATTGCAGTTTTTGTATTTTTTCTCAAAAATGAGATATTTTCCCTCGGTGAAAAGTATCCTATATGTTGATGCGGATAACCAGATATCGCCATACCAAATTTCATCAAAATCCCTTTAGTGGTTTTTCTGTGATACGGTAACAGACAGACAGACAGACAGACAGACAGACAAAAATTCTAAAAACTATAGATTCGGACTCTGTATCGATAGTAATGTCTATTTCAATAAGATTTTCCAAAAAATATTTAATGTACAGATTCGGCTTGGTTACAATGTTATTATATGTATAGATATATAACTCTTTCTAATAATAAATTATAATAAAACTTATTAACCTTAGAATGAGTCGCAGGGGTCCTTAGTGCAAGCCCCAAACGGATTCCTACTAAATACGACGTGCAACGATGGAATACTGAAGTGTAGCTCAGACGTCCGGTCCTGTACAGCTGGCTCACGCTGAAACAAGGTGTTTTGTTATTATGATGTTAATCAGAAATTCTTTAGGACGTTCCTGATTTTTTGTGATTTAAAGCGTGTTTTATAAAACTTTAATAATTGAATTACAAAAAATATCTTTAAATCTTTAAAATATCTTTTATAGTACGCTCCATAACAAACGTGAGTGATGTTTTTTGAGTCTATTGCCCGATTTCACCAACGTCACCTAAGTTTAAGGGATCCCCTAAGCATGGTTAGGGGGCTATTAGGGGACAGTTTCTGTTTTACCGACAGTTAGGGGTCACCTAAGCATTAAAAGGCCCCCTAAATTTAGGTGCTCGAAATATGGACTTAAAGACGATCGTAAAACGAAAAATTTAATTTAGGGGCTAGTTTTGGGGACTTTTAAGCTATCCCATACGTAGGTGGTAGCTTATGGGTTGTTGGTGAAATCGGGCATAAGTCTTTTTCTTTGACAAGCTCTTTATTGTTGTCTTCTCTTTACGTGAATTCTACAAGGCGTAAAGGATTATGATTTTTACATATTTTAACTTAATATGAGGCTTAATATAATCTTAAGCCTCAATGGCAATATATATTATATAAATAAAAATCAATTGCCAAATGTATGTAAGCGAACTACGAGTATTTCAGAACCGCAGCACCTATTCGGCTAATTCTTTTTTTTGTGTTTTTAATTGTCAGGAAAAGAAAAGTGAATATATTTATAATATAATATAGAGAATATATAAGAAATTGACAGTTTCATCAAAATGTAAAATAATTATATTTATCTATACATTATAAAGAGGTAAAGTTTATGAGTTTGTGAGTTTGTAAGGTTGTAGGGGGTAATCCCTGTATCTACTGAACCGATTTAGATGAAATTTGGTAAGAAGATAGTTTGAGATCCTGGGAAAGATAATACATTTTATTCCGGAAATCATCCCTTAAGGGGGTGAAAATGGGCATAAAAGTTTGTATGGGGAATAAACCTAGGGACGAACTCAAGCGAAGCGAGGGTGAGTCGGTACTTCTAGTATAAAACAAAAATACACTGTATTATCTCACGGTACTTAGCATATCATTTTAAATTTAGATCTTCAATCTATACGCCAAAAGGTAATTAATTTAGTTAACGGCATTCCGGTGGGAGCACTCATCGTTTAAGGGAAACCACGGTAAAGCACCGTTGCATAGCTAAGTTAGGGTTCATAGTGATTAATGCGTTGGCTAATGCCAATAGGGACTGTGGCTAATGCTGCTTTAGACCTCAAGCATGTACGAACTAAATAGATGCCTATCAAGTAATCAAGGAAATAAGTAACTTTTTGACACGTAAATAGTAAAAAAAAAATTTCTGGACTCTGTAAAAACTGGCGTATTTTTGTGACTTATGTCAATATATCAACATATATTTTTTTTGGAATTGATAATTGCCATATTAATACAGTCTTAGATTTACGCGAATTCTTGACATTTTAAAGAGACCCGTGACCATGATTGATGTAAAGCATTCGAAACGTCGGGAACCAAAAATCAAAATAAATTCGCGAAAAAATCCGAAAAGATAGTTTTATTTAAAATTGCCATATTATTAAACTAATTTTGCTATAAAATATAGCCTTTATTTATAAAATATAGCATTTTTTTGCGAACTATATTTATTATCTACTATCATATTACGATGCAGATGCGGACAAATTATACTTAAGTAACGTATGCGAGCGAAGTCGCGCACAAAAGTTTGCAATAAAAGCTATAAGTTAATTGAAATTTATATAAATTATAATATTATATTGGAGTCAAAGTAGGTCATACGATATTTTTAATTGTGTCGGTTTTATATGGAACTTAATGGAGTCCATATCAATAGGGTGACTGTTTGTTTGTCTAGACTCATGTCAATAAAAGTTTTATATTATACATATTTTAAGACTTAAAATAGGTTTGTTTCATTTCAATCTATTAATTTTCGCTTTATTCAAATACACAACTTATGCTCCTCTTGGTAACGGACGTATGATGCGCGACACGTGTGGCTCAGTTTGTAGTGACCCTACTTGCTGTGCCAGCGGCCGCGGGTTTGAGACGCGCTAGGGGCATTAATTTGTGTGATGAGCTGTTGATGTGTGTATTGTAGTCATGGGTGTTCATATTTATAATATGTATATATTTAAACTTATATATGTGTAGTGTATCAACTATCCGGTGTCCCTAACACAAGCCTCGTAGCTTACGATGAAACTAGATGGTGCTGTGTTTTAATGTCTAAACATATTTATTTATTTACTAGCGGTTCACTTTCGCTTCGCTCGAGTTCGTCTCTAGAAAAGCAAAAACAAACCTATCCCTAGGGAACTGTACGTAAAAAACAAACCTATTCCTAGGGAATGTGTTAATCCAGACTATAATCTATCTCTGTGCCAAATTTCATCCTGATCCATTTAGCTGTTTTGGCGTGAAAGAGTAACAAGCATCCATACTCACAAGCTTTCACATTTATAATAATGATACGGATATGTATCTACGTTTGTACAATACAAATAAAACGAGTAAAACCGCAGACCTTAACTAGTTATATCGTATACTCGTATATAGAATGTAGACCTCAGGTCATCTAGACCTGTTCTAATTACACTAGTTGTATGTTTATAATAATACTGTTATTATTATAATAACCTTTAATTGATACTTCTCCAGTGGAAATCAATAGTTATATAATATAATACATACTATATAAAAAAATTGACGACACGTTTGGCTCAGTTTGTGGTGACCTTATTTGCTGTGCCAGCGGTCGCAGGTTCGAGTCCCGTTAAGGCGTTCATTTGTGTGACGAGAACGAATGTTTATCCTCCATTTATATTTATAATATGTATGTATTTAAAGAGTTATATTATTATGTGTAATGTATTAACTATGTGGTATCCATAACACAAAGCTCGTAACTTATCATGGAATTAGATGGAGCTGTGTGTTAATGTCCCAACATATTTATATTTATTTATATTTTATAATAATACATACCTAACTCCTTGATATGCCAAAATAGTTAGACGATGATTTTTATAAGTATTATATCTTGAGTACGCAGATGACAAATGTAGGATCGGCATCACGAACGACGAGAATGGCACTTCGTATTGAATCGCCCATACAATGATGCCTCCCAAAATAGTCAGCTGGAAGTCTAGCGCCATGTGATGAGTTTGTGGAGCACACTGAAATAGTGGTTTATTTTATTAATCTATATTATAAAGAGGCAGAGTTTGTTTGTTTGAACGCGCTGATCTCAGGAACTACGAATCCGATTAGAAAAATTATTTTTGCATTAGATAGCCCGTTTATTGTAGAACGATATATATTATCATACTACTACCCAAGTCTATCGATTCCATATTAATCGTTAAAACGTACCTAGGGAACATAATACTATTATTATATAACAAAGCCACCAAAAATATGTTTGTTTTATTTCTTTCAAACTTCTATTACTTATTTCGTATATAAGTTATAATTCATTTATAAAGTTTCAATGAAATACACGCAGGGAATACGCTTATTCCTGAAACCTTTTAGCGTGTTAAAATATATAAAGTTTAAGCAAATGTTCTAGCTTAAACATTGACTTGGAAAATAATAACGTGATATATTTATCTATACAAAACATCATAACGAGAAAGTAATAGTTTTTCTGTGTATCTATCATTGCTATATATAATATGATTTCTAGACAGAATTTTTGGCCAGGACAATTTTTTAGTGGAGAGGCATTTTAGAGTACACATGTAAGCGCAAAGACGGGTGCACTCACTATTGCCCCACTCTCATTGTTCGATGGGATGGTATCTACTCGACCGGAAAGAGATCAAGCGAAGGACAGATGGTGCACAGTTCACACAGGTTTGTGGTGTAACCCAACACAACTTTAACCTGCTATTAAGGATTTCTTGATAGAAAATCCTATATAAGCTCTCCTGTTCCAATACATGAAACTAGGACCTTATAATTTGCATATCAATATTCATTGTTATTAACCACTAGACCAATGAAGCAGCTATTATTATATTTGAAGCAGTCTTTTGATACTTGTTTTAATTATTAATTCATACAAAATATTCTACAATGAAATAATGACATTAGGTGATACATTATCTAATTACAAAGTGAAGAAAATCTTGCATTTCAATAAGGCATTTCATGATTTTAAATCATGAGAGAGTATTTATACTTTTTTTATACAAACTACATAGAATATAGCAGGACATCTACAAATTACTGTTGCATACGAGTAAGTTATAACGAGCGCAAACAATACTCATAGTAAACGCATCGAAATCCATGGAGTACTAAGGGAATTGTCGAACAAAATCCTATCAGCGATCTCGTTAGGACCCTGTTCTGCCCGAATATTCTAATACTACTCGAGTACTCCGTAACTACCATGTCAAGTTCCATCAAAATTTACATTTAGTTTTCGAATGCTATTAGATTGTTTGTACAGATTTCCATAACCTATTTTGTGAAGAGTTTATTTTTCGCGGAAAATAAAAATATTTTAAGTTTTAGAGAAATAGTCGGACATACTTTTATAGTTTAATATTAATTTCATTAGAATAAGAATCGTATATACTTTGGCATAATAACTAATGACAGCTGTCACTAAATACTATCTGTACATATAATAAAATTGTAACTAAGTCGAATCTGTACATTAAATATTTTTTGGAAAATCGAATTGAAATAAACATTGTTATTGATACAGACTCTGAATCTATAGTTTTTAGAATTTTTGTCTTTCTGTCTGTCTGTCTGTCTGTTACCGCATCACGAGAAAACCAGTGGACAGATTTTGATGAAATTTGGTATGGTGATAGCTGGTTATCCGGGTCAACATTTATGTTCAGTATCCTATAGGATACTTTTGAATCCGGGAATATATCTCATTTCTGAGGAAAAATACAAAAACTGCATTGTACTAATATGTAAAACCTAAGAATTTGGTTTTTGGTTATCTGAACGCGGGCGGAGCCTCGGGCAATGCTAGTACCACATAATATAAATTAAATATTATATATTAAAAAATAGTACGTTACATATAAGCAACGTTTTTAATTTTTTTATTATGGACAACGAGGCACTAATTTGAGTCCGTTAGGAGAAATCATTATTAGTCGTAGGTATACACTGGCGATCGTCCGAGAGAATGCACAAGTCGTCGTATGGGGCAGATAGTCGGCTCCGTGGGCAAAGCGAAAGTTAAAACTTAAAATAAACTAGAAAAATGGAACAATAACAGCAAAAACAAACGTAGTAGTCAGTTGACAAGGCATTTTGATTTGTCATCCTAATAGTGTAGACTCACCATATTTTCCAATCCATGATAATTCTGTATGTACAAAAGGTTCCACCACCACCCTTTTTGACATATTTCGACGTTTTTGGTCACCAACGTTCCCCACATTGGACCAGATGATATATTGTCCCATATGTACGCATAGAAAAATACTATGGCTGCAAGAGCTGGAGTTAATCTGTGAAAGTTAAGTAATAATATCACCATTCCTTGAAAAAAATGATTGTACAAGTTTTTGTTCTTCGTATATCCCATAGGAAGACTTACTTTTCCGGTATCTAAAATATACTATGTTTCTCTTGCCTGAACTCTCTATTCGCCCGTCAAAGTTATTTTAAATTCAGTTTAGCCGTTCCAGATAAAAGTTGAACAAATGAATATGATATCATCAGACAAAAATAAGATTATTTGGGATGTGTGATCGACTCAGGTACTATAACTATATCAGCTATTGTGAAATCACTAATATAAACGTTTAATAAAAATGATCACATGCGGTTATAGCTTATGTTTGTTCTATTCATCATAAAATGTTTTTTAATATCGTTACTCATTGGAAAAATCAAACTTACATAATATGAATTGCTTAGAATTCAGAAACCACATAATTCTTTGGAAACCATTCAAATTTGCACATCTACAAAAATTTAAACTATATCTGTTAGCTACCAATGAATAATGAATGGATTTTACGTAGTAAACACGGATGCTCCGCTCAACCATGATAATGAGTCTTGTAAATATTGTATCGACTTCAACATATCCTAAGAATTTGTACGTAATATACGTATAGGTACCATGCAAGCAACACCTAAATATCAGATTCGTCGATTTTTTGTAGTTGCGGTTTAATTTTATCACGTAATTTATCTCATACTAATGTAATTATTTTACTCGAACCCAAATCAAAATCGAAACCGTTTTGGGGCAAAATGGAAACCGATTGTATCGTGGCTATGAACAGTGGTTGCAAGAATGTAAAAAAAAATGCTAAAAATCATTACCTTAAATATCTAGAGAGTAGCTTCGCAGCAAATGCTTCATCAGTGGACTTGCGGTATGAGGTTAGAGTACCGCTGAGTAACAAAAAGCAGTCTGTGAACATCCAGCCAGCTCTACACCAGGATAGTAATGGCGACGACACAATCTGTAAGAAAAATACATTTATTTATGGAAATAACAGACAAATGAAAAACTTAATAATAATTTAAAATAAAACTATCTTTTCAGATTTTTTCTTTTTGTTTTTTTTTATTTTTGGTTCCTGGTGTTTCCAGTCCCGTCCTGACGATTTAAAATATCAAATATTTGAGTAAATCTAAGAAAGTATTATTATGTTTTAATGTTTAGCTCAGAGATAAGATATTTTACTCTATCATCATACCAAATTTCACCATTTTTTTCGTGATGCAGTCACAGACAGACAGACAAAAATTCTAAAACCTATAGATTCGGCCTCTATCGATAATAATATCTATTTCAATAAGATTTTCCAAAAAATATTTAACGTACCGATTCGGCTCAGTTAGAATTTTATTATATGTATAGATAATTATTTGGACTATTTGTCTAAATAAATATGCTTCCTCATGTAAACGTGGATTTATAAACCTGCCCTTCGCTAAGGTTTTAACCCTCGGCTCAAAGAGTAAATTGATGTACCTACTAGGATAAAGATTAGCCTATGTCTCTCATCGGATCATAATAATACATTTTCCTTGCTCAGATCACGTTGTTTTGTTGCAAAGATGCTACGTAAAAAATATTGACAAACCAACAAACAAATTATAATATAAAGTTAAATAAAAAAGTGAGCGTTCTATAGAGTGAAATTATTAACCGACTTCCCAAAACAAGGAGGAGGTTCTCAGTTCGTCGAAATCTTTTTTTTTTCTTTTTTTTATGTATGTTCACCGATTACTCAAAGAATTTTTTTTTGTTTCAAAGGTTATACTTCCCATATAAATTTTATCAAAATCAGTCGAGCGGCTTTTTTAAAAATCAACAATAAATATATTTTTTTAAATAAATAGCTCAATCGAATATGTTATTAAAAAACTTTCTTCTTACAAATTACCTGCTTATTACGTCTACACTAAAAATTGAAAAATATAAAAGTTTTTATTTAATGCTACCTGTTTATTAACTTTAATGATATTTGTTAAAGATTTTTTAATTCTTACAGTGAAATAGCGTCATCGATCAAAAAAGTACTAGATACACAATCAGCGACAAAAAGTGTCCTCACGGAATGAGCGCTCATTTGAACAATTGAAGGCGGTCTTAATTTTTTTTTGTGAAAATTACTTTAAATATTGTATTTAAGGTTCAATTTACATTGTTGTATATTTATTACAACTGGTAACACAATTGGTGACAGTTTTAAGAGAACTTTTTGGTAAAATTGAATTCTTACCAATACCAACATTTAAGTTTCATAGAATAACTTACCTATAAAAATAAATAATTATATTTTTTTACTTTATTAAATAAATCAACATTTAAAAACTTTTTATTGAGTTAAGTTTTTTTTTTGCAAATTAATAGTATTAAGTAAATATTAAGTATGTACTAAATATTTATTTATTACGATAAAACAACAATTATTTTAAGGCTTCTTATAAGCTTCTAAGTTTTCTAATCTACAACTGTTATGAACATTAATAAGTCTAATATGATCCAAAATTCTCCAATTTAGCCCAAAGTATTTAACAAAAGCCCTTTCAAAACGTTTTCATAAATCCTTTTATTGAAAGTTCTCTTTCAAATTTCTATTAACCAATGAGCTTTCAAACGCGTATTTACAATATAATTTAGGCTCTACTCTTTATTCTCTCAATTTACTTGGATATTAAATGAAAATGGACAAGCGCCTTGTTAATTCTATCAGCAACGATTTGTTCATTCAGTATGAAGCAATAGATACGATTTTTAAAACAAATTTTATCGATCGAATAATTTTTAATGCAGAACGAATGATTTAAATGATGGTTATGGTAAGTATAAATTCTCATGAGATTTAAGAAATTTCTGTACTATATTGTAATTTTTGAATACTTAATCTATACATATAATAAAATTGTAACTAAATCGAATCTGTACATTAAATATTTTTTGGAAAATCTAATTGAAATAGACATTATTATCGATACAGAGTCCGAATCTATAGTTTTTAGAATTTTTGTCTGTCTGTTTGACTGTCTGTCTGTTACCGCATCACGAGAAAACCAGTGGACAGATTTTGATGAAATTTGGTATGATGATAGCTGGTTATCCGGCTCAACATATAGGATACTTTTTACCGCGGGAATATATCTCATTTCTGAGAAAAAATACAAAACTACATTGTAAGAGTATACAAATATGTAATACCTAAGATTTTGGTTTTTGATTATCTGAACGCGGGCGGAGCCGCGGGCAATGCTAGTTAAAGATATAATTTGAGCTCTCAATAGTAGGAAAAGCTGTATATGTTATCGTTATGTACTACTTTCTGTTAATAACTACACGCGATCCCTCAGGGGTTAAAAATCATCCATCCTATTTCCTATCCCATTATTACAAACTGGTTCTATTTATGTGCCAAATTTCATCCTTTGCTTAATGGTTCAAGCGTGATTGAATCCCAAACATCTTTCAATCAACTTTCACACCAATGTAAATGTATGATATGCTAAAAGCAATACTGTTTTTTAATTCCTATTATTTATAAAAAAATTAAAATCGGCTTACAATCGCAGAGATATATGTACATAAAAAACTATACTTCTTTTTTGAAATCGGTCAAAGAACTAAACTTATTCAACTGATAATTTCTTATTTTATGTTTTTAGTCACATTAAAAAAAATGCAAGTTAAACCCATTTCGATTTCTCCCATTCAAACGAAGAGACAAGCCAAATAATCGTGTTGACTGAATTGGAAATATGCCAGTACTAATAAACAACACATGCTTGTTCGACAATCTATCACCTATAAAATTTATTACTTTGTTACCCACCGAAAAGAAATACCGTCAATATTTCTGGTATTTCGAAAGCAGTTGTAAGTTTTCTTTTCTAACTAGCGACTCACGCTAGCTCCGCTCGGGTTTATCCCTAGATACGTTTTAACGTTTAATATAGATTTCTCAGACATATAATATATTTTCCCACAATTAAAAGAATCCTATATGTTGACCCAGATAACCAGCTGTCATCATACCAAAATTCATTAAAATCTGTTCAATGGTTTTCTTGTTTCCAAACAGACAGACAAACATAAATTCTAAAGACTATAGATTCGGCCTCTGTATCAATAATAATGACTATTTCAATAAGATTTTTCAAAAAATACTTAATGTACACATTCGACTGAGTTATAATTTTATTTTTGTCTGTCTGTCTGTTACCGCATTACGGAAAAACCACTAGACGGATTTTGATGAAATTTGGTATGATGGTAGCTGGTTATCCGGGTCAATATATAGAATACTTTTTACTGCGGGAATATGTCTTATTTCTGAGAAAAAACATGCAATGTAAGAGTATACTATGTAATATGGAAAACCAAGAATTTGGTTTTTGATTATCTGAACGCGGGCGGAGCCGCGGGCAATACTTGTTTGTAATAAAAATTCATAGATCCAAATGCGATCATTCCAAATATTACAGAATTTATATTGGAATTATTAAAATCCGACTCTTGACTTCATCTTATTTTAAACTTCATAGAGCTAGTTATTAATGAACATTTAATGGATTTCATTAAGATAATAAACAATGATAATAAAAGTCACGAAATTATAAAAATAAATGAAAGTATACGATTAAGTACATACTTATTCACTTCAAAGTGACTAATGATCCGGTAACCGGGGAGTGGCAGGCTAGCTGTAACATTTTCTTTAGGGCTATTTTTTATTACAACACAGAAGCACTAAATATCTTTAATGCCTGTACGGTTAGGATTACCTATTTTTTCTTGACACTCGAAATCTGTTGTACCTAAAACCTTTATTGCCTTCTAGAATAGACCTCGAGTGTACTAGTGGAGCGAGTCCAAGATCATGGACCCAGAGACCAACTGTTCACATTCGCAACCACGTATTGGTCGCGTACGTCTGTACTATTGCGGCATTAAACTTTTAAAAATTTCGATTAACTACATCAAAAATATGTTTTTACGTCTCATTCATTTTCCCTACATCCATTAAATTTTATTACATGTAAGTCGGTCGCTAAATTCGTCTATTTTGGAAAGACCAAAGGACAGTTAAAAATTATCATATATCTCTTTAAACCTGATTATCCCAGTAACGCTAGTTATAAATACTTCCCAATTAATCTTTCAAATAAATACTGAAAATAGCTCTTTATAATATATAACAAATTGCTATTTGTATTAAAACAGGCGCAAAACGTAAACACTCATTGTTATTAATTTGTTGAAGATCTACAAATTACCTTTGAGAATAAATATGTCTTTTTAAATAATATATACTTTAGATGAGTTCTTTTGTACAATTAATTTTAAATGAAAAATTTCTTTTGATTTCTTTATTTTATTGGATTTACATCGAATATGAAATATTAAATTTAGACAATTCTTACCTTTTATATAGTTAGGGTTGTACGGAACAAATTCTACCCACTATAAATATGATGGGACATTAACACACAGCACCATCTAGTTCTGCGGTAAGCTTGTGTTTTATGGCTTGTGCTATGGATACCAGATAGTTGATACACTACACATATATAACTTTAAATATATACATATTATAAATATAAACACCCACGACTGGAGTACAAGCATTCGTGCTCATCACACAAATGAATGCCCCCAGCGGGACTCGAACCCGCGACCGCTGGCGCAGCAAGTAGGATCACTACAAACTGAACCAAACGTGTCGTCGGACTATAATAATCCTTACTTTATATTATGATCAAATTATATTATGATCTGTGCTTATACCTATCATATAAATGCAGTAGTGTATTTGTTATTGTCGTATTTTTACACTCAGCTTTGGCTTTTTAAAGCTAGTCTATGTGAGAGCGAGCAATTCACAACTTTAGGTATATTTTTTTGGATAATATCAGATATTTCTTATAGTATATTATTTAATTGAGTTTCAATTGTGTGGCTTCTGATTACGCCCACGTTTATCTATCCAGATAAATAAAATTGAAGTATCTGTTTGTAACGTCAAAATAACAACTTTTTACTTAATATATTTATATGAAAGTACATATATACGATACATATAAGAAAAACACAATTTTTGAAGTTATAACTCTTTTGGGACGTTTGGAAAAAATTATGAGAAAATTTTTTACGATGCGCGCGCACACCGACAGCCAAAAAGCGACATTATGAAGTTAGCTGAAAGCGACATGATGAAGTTAGCTGCATTCCTTTTACAAACAGAGTTGTGACATACGGGATGAAATCTTTAGCTATTTTTGTTCTGTTACGTCAAAGAAGTATAACTTCTTACGTGCGCACATAAGTGCACACTTAAGTACACACATTTGTAATGACTTCGGGTAAAATATATTGATATGAAAATTTTCATTTGAAATATAGTGTTGATACAGAATGGAAAAAATGTGAATAGACATTAACGTGGATTTTCTATAATTTACCTAAAGTTTATATACGTACTAATATACAATAATTTTGACCACAATGCTACAAATAATGCCATAAAAATTTAAGTTCTCTTTATTTAACAATTAGAACGTCGTATTGTCTAAACCCGCTTGATAGAAATAATAAATAGCATGAAGATGTAGGTAAAAAGTAATGCTAAGGCCCGCGGTAGAAAACTGATTAAGACAGATGATATCTTCCCTCTTCTATTTTCTACAGTCGATATATCTAATGGTAGATGTAGACCTATCTATACATATAATAAAATTGTAACTAAGTCGAATCTGTACGTTAAATATTTTTTGGAAAATCTCATTGAAAAAGACATTATTATCGATACAGAGTCCGAATCTATAGTGCTTAGAATTTTTGTCTGTCTGTCTGTTACCGCAAAACGAGGAAACCACTAAACAGATTTTGATGAAATTTGGTATGATGATAGCTGGTTATCCGGATCAACATATAGGATACTTTCTACCGCAGGAAAATATCTCATTTCTGAGAAAAATTACAAAAACTGCATTGTAAGAGTATACTAATATGTAAAACCTAAGAAATTGGTTTTTGGTCATCTGAACGCGGGCGGAGCCGCGGGCAATGCTAGTAGTCTATACTTAGTTATATAAGCCGTATAAAGGAAAAAATGGCTGCTACATTAACTGCCGTACTAAGAGTTAAAAGACAGAGCTCTTAGAGAGAAGTAAATCTACATCAGTTTTTCCGATAAGAGATAATAAAAATTGAAATTTACTTGTTTTTCATATTTTGTGTTATTTCATTTAACAGCAAAAATGTTTGTAAAAGTCAATTTGCATAGCGATATTTTTTGGTTTGGCTAAAAATTTTTGCTTCTTTGATACCATAAAGCTCGTTTGTCTCTTCAACAGAATAGCAATTCAAAATAGACAGCGTTGCTGAAAAAAATGTTTTTTAACGTTTTCAATTATATTTTACCAATCTGTAAATATATCTGTATAAGTATTATAAATGTGAAAGTTTGTGAGTATGGACGTTTGTTACTCTTTGACGCCAGAACGGCTGAACGGATCTGGATGAAATTTCGCATAGAGATAGATTATAGACTGAAATAACACATAGGCTACTTTTCATCCCGGAAAAATGTATGGTTCCCATGGGATAGGTTTGTTTTTGTTTCCGCTAATTAGAAAATAAGATAAAGTCAAGAAATGGCATAGCGAGAGCGCTGTTGTGATACTTTGACAACCAACGACATAGAACCACAGCGTACGACACGTACGACATGTGACACATGAGTGCTTAGTCTTAGTATGTAAATTGTATGCATATGTGACAATACAATTTAAAGATGCCAGGTCTAGTCTGTTGAATTAAAAATAACATACCTCACTCAGCCTTAAACGGTTCGTGTAAGGCGTTACGCCGACCGGCAAGAACTTGTGGGCAAAGAGTATTGCGAGAGTAGCGATAGCTCGTAGACCATGGATACAGGATATCTCGTTTTTACTAACAGGAGCCACCAGTTTTCCGAACGTGTTGTACAGCGAAAACGAACTTATAATGCCATCTGAAAAAAATTTATTAAAATAACTTAAAAATCTGAATTCGAAATAATCGAGCTAAAAAGATGGCAACAAAATCTAACGACATATAGATAATTAAATTTTATATAATTCTACAGGTATTCAATTCATTAAAATCAGTTTAGCGATTTATTAAATATACATACATACGCTATAATTTACATACATACGTACATACATACATAAAGGTTGAACACATAACGCTTCTTTTGGACTCTGAAAATTTTAACACCACAGCAAATTTTGCAAATAACCTCATCTACTAACTTGATATACGGAATACAAGCTCAATACAACTCTCCGTCCACATACAAATATTATCATGTAATGTATACTATCTCAAATAACAACGGTTACTATGGCAACATGGCAATGTATTCTATCTCATTTTCTCGCCGGCTTAATCTTATATATTTATGTATTTGTCTCTTTTTAGTGTTGCATTTCCGTTTCATCGAGTATAAAATCACAACGATTCTAAAGAAGTTTCACTTCAAAAATACTAATTTTGATTTAATTAATTTTATGTCCATGTAAAAATATTTAATAATCGATTTTCCTAATCGATCATTCAGACATGTCTTTATGAATAAACATGTTATTGCTTTAATGAATTAAATAATGCAGTTAGCGTTTACATTGTAACAACGTATACGTTGTCACAATAGGACATGAAGAAAATGTTCGTGAGGAACTTGCAAATAATTATAAGAGTAAGTTCTTCTTTAGTTTTTTTCTAAAACACTTTTTTACCTATATCTAATGTACAAAGCATATGATTATACTCTTACTAGGTACATTTTCAGTTAGTACAGAACGACGTTGACAAGACGTTTGACTCAGTTTGTAGTGAGCCTACTTGCTATGCCAGCGGTCGCGAGTTCGAGTCGCGCTGGGGGCGTTCAGTTGTGTGATGAACTCGAATGTTTGTACTCCAGTCATGGGTGTTTATATTTATAATATGTATGTATTTAAAGTTATATATGTGTAGTGTATCACCTATCTGGTATTCATAACCAAGTCTCGTAGCTTACCATGGCACTAGATTGTGCTATGTCCCAACATATTTATTTATTTAGTAGATACCTACATATGTATTGTATAATAGTATGGAGTATCGTTGAATAGGTATTTAAAAATCATTTTTAGGTTTCTTTTATCATTTTTCGTTTTTTAATAACAGTTATGATATATATTGATTTAAAGTTAGTTAATAACTATTCTCGCTAATTTTCCTACTTAAAAATACTTAAAAAGCTATAAATAAATAAATATATTATAAAAATAAAGAACCCGACTGAATAAAAGCTAACTAAAAAGATAAAACAAGATCACGAAGAAATATAGTATTAGGTATGCAGTCAGAGACATACATACGAGTATGTACATCTCGCGGCAAGGATCAAATATACCTATATGTCTTCGACTGCAGAGTACTATATTCCTTCGTGAACTTGTTTTCATCTTTGTAGTTAGCTTTTATGCAGTCGGGTTTTTATTTTTGTAATATATTTATTTATTTCTCTTCATCATGGTAGTATAGTAGATACAGATTAAATATTACAATTCGAGGGATTTTGTAGCTAATGACACTAAATTATCTTTCTTCTATCCGCCCCTTCGGTTCATGAAAACTACATTAGTTCAGTCAACTCTGTGCCTACGAAAAAATAAAAATATCAAGAAAATTCGAGCGTAAAACTCGATGTGACGTAAAACTGTCGTCGGTCCCAATTTGCATAATAAATTATTTCGTTCGTTGATTTAGAAAAGAACTCAAGTTCCTAACGGAGGTTTTTGAGGTCTCTAAATTTATTTATGTAAATACAAATTTCGCGGGACACCGACGACGTTGAAAAAAATGAGTTTTACGCATTTAATAGGATACAAAGCAATGTTTTTATTTACTTTTTACAGGCTATCCAATCTCACTTTGTTTATATTTTATGATAGCTGACCAAATTTTATAAAATAAATGGGTATAAGGTAACATCATTGTAACAGACTTAATGATATACGAATATGTACGTACATACACAGTCAATCAGCTTTAATGAACTTGTAAAATTTGGCACTATTCTTAGCTGTTAAGATGTTAATAAACATATTTGCATACTAGTACCTAGTAGGAAGTCATAGCTTATAGGGAAAAGTGCTATGAAAGGGACAAGTTCAGAATGGGACAAATTAAATTTATGGCACTAGGAAGCAAGTAGTACATTTTTTATTTTCTACACTCTTACAACATTTACTCAGTAACAATATTGAGTTAAATATCATTTGATTCTCAAAACAATGAAAATGGCGAAGCGTAGTTTAATTATTTCGTGAGTAAAAGTATTTATTCGTTGCTTGTAAAGTTTGTTTATTAGATTATTTAAATAATACTTGACAGTTATTGTACAGCTAACTGACCAATAGCTTAACTACTTAAAAAGTAAGTGCACAATAATACAAAGTTATTCGAATTTTTTTTTGCTGTGAGGATATTTTTAAAATATTGTTGTATTAAGTAATCTTGAAAGGGACAGCTAAATAGGCCTTGAAATGGACGAATAAGTAGTATTTGAGGCAAAACTTAAACGCCCCATTAAGACGGGGGACGTTTTGTTGGGTTTTAGTACTGGCTTTTCTAGCCGATGAGTAAACCAACATAGCCACCTTTATGTATACATGTGGTATGCGTAAATACATTTCCCAACATTTAAATGCATCAGCTAGATTATGATTAAGCATGACATATTATAGGTATATTATTTATTGGAGATGTATTAATAAAAGATTAAGAAATATAAGAGCTTCTATAATAACAGCTAAGAACTTGTTTATAATATGTCCCTTTCATGATCATAATTGTCCCTTTTAAGACCACACTGTCATGAATGGGACATATCTTAAGAATTTTTAAATTTGACTTTAATGCTACACTGTTTCAAAAATATATTATTTTTAGTTTATATTTTTAAAGATGAATAGACATAGTTACGTTATATACAAAAGCTTTTTTATTATACCTCATTTATTGCTCAATCTTTTACACTAAAAAAAATTGTCCCTTTCATGTCACCTTTCTCTTATAGTCTTTTTATCTTGATCGAAGTCCCAAAATCTGTAGTATATTCGTTTGTATCAAAAACCTTGACTCGTTTTATTTATATGCCTGGTACATGGATAAACAATGTATAATAAAATATATTTTTGTGTTTTAGGTAATTTCTTATATACAAAAAATTATACCAAGAATTTATTTGTAAATAATGGACAGTGTGGCGACCTAGAAAAAGTAAATGAAATAAAAGAAATGAGAATGAGTCATTTTAAATAATATATAGAGCGTCGCCGAATATTCGCTATATTCCCGTTCAACATTTTTTTTTTTCAAAACAGCTCAAACACACCAATCATAATTAATCAAAGTAATTCTATATTCTTATTGCGAAGACTAGATGTAATGACTCAATTGGATACTACGTATATTAGTATTTCAATTGTGAACGCTATTAATTCTTTGTGCAGCAAGTTTCTTAGCTACTTATTTCAAGAAGTTGTACAAGTTTCTTTTGTTACTTAGCTGATATATGAACAAAATTGATTAAATTAAAAGAAACAAATGAGTAATCATGAAATAAACATTGAATATTAAATAATAAAAACGCGTGGAAGAGAGAATAAGATCCTTGAGCTATAGACCACATTTAATAAGAAATATCAAGATTAAAACAATTAGTAAAGGGTTTTGGCATGACATATATGTATGTATATATTAAGTATCACCTTGATTACGCCCGAGAAAAATTCCTCGAGGGCTGATCAATACTTAGTATCAGTACTTGTCAGTATACGTTTATTTAAAAAAAAATACAATAAAATATACAATTGTATAGTAATGTAAAAATTTGTACTAGGTAATTTTTTTTTTTTAGTTTTAGGAATTCATGTAGATACTTGCTTTTATTAAATCGCTAACAATCGTAGTAATATATACAAAATAATACCAATTCCCAAACGACATGGGCACCTGACATGCTAAATAATGAAAAATAGAATAACCGAAAAGGATAATATATTATGGCTACGCTACACAAAACCACAAAATGCCGTTGAAAAATGAGCCAATATTGCATACTGTAGTGCTTTTGGCTTGTGTTTATATTTGTTAAAATAAAAAGGGCACCTACATACGAGACGATTGTTGACATAGTAAGCTAAGTGATTACTATCATCTAAACTAAGTCTATAAGTGTGGAACAAGCGTGGGTAGATGACAAATTTTATTTCTATGTAATTTTATTTAATATAGCCGTTAGAGGCTACCATACCAAAATGACATCCCGTTTTAACTGGAACTTAATATTTAAAGTTCTAAAAAAGATTTCTAATAAGCTATGAACAATTTCGTAAGATATTTAAAAAAATCAATTACACCAATTCGTAATTGTGCAAATGCAATAATGTTATATATTGTATTGTTGTTTCATGATAATAAAAAGTGTCGATTTTAATTCAATTGAAATCGCAATCGCGTCGAACTCTCGTTACTTAATCCAATTTGATACCTCATCAGTCCGATAAATAAACAGTCATAACGATCGTTAAGCTGAAGTGAATAATTTTGTTATAATTTCCCCTTCAAACTCAGGAATTAAGTGGATAAGTAATTAATCGAGACATTAAAATCTATACATATAATATATTCTGATTCGAATCTGTATATTAAATATTTTTTGGAAAATCTTTAGAAATAGTCATTATTGTCGAATCGATACAGCCGAATCTGTAGTTTTTATAATTTTTGTCTGTCTGTCTGTCTGGGAACGCATCACTAGAAAACTACTGGATAGATTTTGATGAAATTTGGTATAACGATAGCTGGTTAGCCAGGTCAACATATAGGATACTTTTGACTTTAAAAAAATATCTGATCTCTGCGAAATCTATACTAAACGTTAAAACATACCTAGGGACGAGCCCGAACGGAGGGGAGTCTTGTATATATATTTAAAACGGCAAATTATAATTTAATGAGGGGCTCGTGATGATGTTCTCCTAGCCGATTCCGGCCACGGCGGCCAATCTCAATGAAATTAGCCAACTGCGCAGGAGATATTATAGTGCTGAAGTGTACGCGCAGACACAAGTGCACTCTCTATTCCTATCACTCTCATACTCCGGTGGGACGACCACTCAACACGACCGGTGAGAGTTAAGGCGCAGGACCGACGGCTTTATGTGCTCTCCAAGGCACGGGGGTGAAACACCGCCAACTTCCCAACTCCGGGCTGTTACTGAGACTTACTATATACAGGAAGACTCAATAACTAAACTTGGCCCGACCCGGGACTCGAACCCAGGACCTCCGGGTGTGCAGCCGTACATGCTAGCCACTACACCACCGAAGCAGAGGCGAGGGGCTCGTACTGAGACTGCGAATTAAAATTTAGAGAAAATATTCGTTTACCTACAAATGTTTTCTTAAAAACCTCCTAGTTATTATTCTACAGTTAGTGGTGGTTTTTTTTTTTGAAACGTATATTTTTTAATGATATATTACCAGCATTGAAGCCTATTTTAAAGATTGTTAGCTAGCCTAACATACGAGTATATATTTTAAATAAAACTATCTTTTCGGATTTTTTCGCGGATTTATTTGGATTTTTGGTTCCCGACATTACGATTGCTTTACAATTATATTCACGGAAGAGACTGTCCCGTGACCAAAAGACAGTTTTATTTAAAATGTCATCATCAAATATTCGCGTAAATCTAAGAAAGTATTAGACAAAAATTACAGAACCGATAAAAAAATAACATGAAAAAATATCACTTCATGCGGACTATGCCGTAGATAACTTTTATTATGCAATTATTGAACACTAATATATTTTTTTCTTATGAGTATTTTTAATAATACTTGTTTTATTATTACTATGAGGCTAGAGAGAAGAGGCAAAAGAAAGTCAAAGGCGGGATGCCTTTGACTTGCTTTTGCCTTTACTAGTCAACCAGTGTACAGTACAAGCGCAAGAAGCTCGATAAATTGAAAGTGCTTAATTGGTCCACATACACAATCCACACTTCTTGATCTAGTGAGCTGCAATAACCAATATTGCTTCCTGAGACTATAAGTCAATTAACCCTTTAACTGGCTTTTATGCAGTAGCAAAAATCGTCCCACCCAAAAAAATCTATAATAATTCATTATATCAAATATTGACATGCAAAATGCAATATATGGCAACAGTTAGTTTTTATACAAAAAATTGAACAGAAATCATTTTTTGTCTAATAAAATCATGGCTAGACCTTCATAATTCCTACACTAATTGTGTTCATATTTTGGCAATTTATAAGAAATTTCTCGGTTTCTCAAGATTATGTCAAAATTTAAAGTAAAACCAAAAAAACTACAAAAATTAATACAAATTGTTTTTTCTTTATATATACACGTATGAACGTATCGTTTATACATACCCTAAAAATATCAGGGTCATAAATCATTGTTGTGGCAGATCACGTATTGATAAATATGTCGGGTCTATTGATATCGCACAATCAGTTAACGTGACCCTTGCTTAACAGTATGTGTAATTTGTGCTCATTAAAAGTGTCATCGAATTCAAATCGATTTAATTACAATCGAATTGAATTCTCATTACTTTATGTAGGTTAAGGTTAAAAAATTATTCATGTACGATTTAGTTTTCAATATATTTTTATTAAAAAAAAGGCAGTGGTAGCCCAGTGGTAACGTGCTCGCTTGGGAAACCGAGTGAAGCGGGTTCAAATCCCAGATCTCGCACCTCTGATATTTGCATGTGCGAATCATTTCCAACATGATTACCACTTGCCTCAACGGTAAAGGAAAACATCGTGAGGAAACCTGCATGTCTCAGAGAACCTAGCAAGTTTTCAAAAGACATGTGAAGTCATTTAATCAACCAATCAAAAAAACAAAGAATTTTTTGTTGGTTTTTGGTTGACTTGACGAATTTATTGAACAAGTGACGGCTTTTAGAGCAACTACACATGAATAAATGACGCGCGCTGGCACAAGTAAAATGAAAAGAAAACTATTTTTATTTATTTTTTTTTGTATTTCTTACAAATCAATATAATAAATATGCCAGAATTTGGTTAAGATTCCTGCTAAGGAACTCAATCGTTTTTGTAGTTGCTAAGTGTCAGCAAATTCAGATTTCCACATTAAAAAAATGTTTTTTTTTTATTTAATTTATAAAATTATTGCATAGGATTTGTTAAAAAATACTTAATATATTTTTTTTTGTATAGTTACGATATTAATAGTAAATATTCTTACGTGATTTCTTATTGTTCTTAGATTTTTCTTCTTTCTTTCCATCTCCATCTCTCGCGTTATCGTTTTCAGAAATATTTCTAGCGAGGAAGTCCTGAAGTGTGGCTATTAAGACCAATATTAGAACTATCGCGTACAATGATCTGTAACAAAACACTTATTATTTTAACATGCAATTTTTAATATTCGTTATTTAGAAAAATAAAAGATTTTATAGCAACTTTACTTCATATACACTCATGGGAAAATTTAGAGCAACGTTAAAAAAAAGAATTATTATTATTTAATATTTTTTTGGTACGTACTGGCCACTAATATCAATGTATGTAATTTAAAAATAATATAAATATAAGAATTATTCTAATTAACTTTTTTTTCAGTTTCATTTGTTTTATAACTTGCTTTGCTAATAGCGGTTAAAACCGAATCACCCTTGAAATGTAAAGGTAACTCTTAAAGTCTGACTGAATGATAATTCGGCACGATTAGTTGGACCAATAGATCAGGCTCAGGTCGGATGGCTTTACGCGCTTTTCGAGGCACCGGTGTTATAACGCTAATTCCCTCATCTCAGGCTTTTACTTGAATCCTCTTGACAAAAAAAACCAATCCTTGGTTTGAACCGGTACTCAAACCCGGGACTTCAAGATCTACCACTCCATATAGCCAGCAGATCAACGTGGTAGTTAAAATGTAGACACATAATACATAAAAATTCTATTAATAGCTATATTAATTAATGGCTGTAGTTCTGTTACCGGTCGAAATATACCCCACGTGGGTTTTTCACCCCACTTTTTGCAAACCATTATGCTACTTTATACATCATTCTATACGTAACGCAATCAATGATGTGGCAAAAATTTCATCATGAAGGGAACACTTATCTGTTCAGTGTTGTGTTAACAATTATCATAAATTCATTGCCCGACAAGATTTTACGTACTGTTTAAAAAATATAAAACAAGATCGGGTATCGATAACAGTAAACATTTTATTCCTCAACCCCAAATCACAACATTGTATCTTTATAGAGTCGATAAATCGGTAATATTTTTCCTCAGGATGGTAAAAACGTAAGGAAATTTTACATCGAAAATAAAATTGAAATGATACTATTTACATACTTCTCTAATATATATTTGCAGAATATTTGTAATATAATTAGAATTCTTAGCTAAGATTGGTAATCTTAGATCTTAGTTTAAAAATATTTTTTTAAATCATTCCTTGGAATAAGCAAACTATAAAACGACTTGCATTGGAGTTTTCTATGGTGCCCCAGTTCCTTCTTTTTTATTTATATCTAATAATTATTAATTAACTAACCATACAATTTTTTTGCTTTTTTAACCAGAATTGTATATTAAGTTATTTTATAGGTTAACAGTTTTCAACGTCTTCTATCTACTTTATATTTGAAATAGCTTATTAAATCATTTAATAAATAACATAGAAATCATTAGATTTCAACTTCAAAAACAATTGGGCTATAATAAAACTTACATTGTCAACAAAGTAGGAATTTCTAGCCATTCGTTCCACCAATTTGGCCCTTTCTTTACATGACAATCCTCTTCATCGACTTTGACTCTTACGCTTACACCAATTTTATACTGATAGTGTTTTATGGCATCTCGTAACACAACTTCGACGTCTTCTGGACCGCAGGGGGATGGTACACATATACCCCAACTTAGTGTAGAGACACGCGGCACGAAGTGACCTGGCTAAACGAATTATAAGACTGCTTAGTATGTGGGAATAGTTCCATAAAAATATGCTAAATAAAACTATACTATATCTAACTCTACATGTGCACATGAAGGGTAGAGTTAGGTATAAGTAATTTTACAGGATTTTTAATTTACATCTCTTTAATCTGCATCGACAATATGATGAATCATCATCATCAATCATCATCGACATTATGGTCACTACATTAAATATTTCAAGGTATGAATGCAATATTAATATTCTTAGAAAAAATGAATATTTGTGTTGAATGAAACTTGATATCTTCAATAATTAAGGTACTTTTCTTACATATCCCGCACATTTGTTCCTTCCTGTATATTGCAGGGATATTGGAGAAGCCGTGATATTATAATTTATTAGTGATATTATAATTGCACGAACTTTTGTCAATTGTCTCCATTTCTTACAATATCACGAGACAAATTAAACTTTATTAATTTCCCTGCGGACTTCCAGCGACATTGTGGATCGATGAAATTTTAAGAATTTCTCTAAGCGATATATCTTTAAACAGTCTCTGATTGGTCAGCTTTAAACATATTTTTTGAGCACAGCTTAAACTATAGGTTCAATAAAATAGAATTCTGTATTCTGAAATTTGGTAACAAGATAGTTTAAGACCCTGGGAAGGACAGAGGATACTTTTTATCCCGGAAATCATTGGATGATAGTTTGTATGGGAAATCAACCTAGAGACGAACCCGAGCGAAGTGAGGGTGAGTCGCTAGTTTAGTTAAATGATGGGTTAAACCCATACTTTTAATGTTATATTTAATGTTTGATTGTTTTTGTGATTGTCCATCTTTCACATCGATATAGAGTAACAGATTGGCGTGATTTTTTGTGTGGAGTTGAAGGGCTGGAGAGTGACATAGGCTACTTTTTACTGCGTTGGATTATCTCATTCCCACGGGAAAACTACACTACAACCCAAAAAAATATTTATGATCAGAATTACTTGAATCTTGATTTTAATGATTTTCAATTCAGTTAAATACGTATTTTAATATTATTGTAATTCATCCCGTTAAAGGGAAAAATGGATAGTAAAGTAAAGGATTGGTAAGTAAATCCGCTATTTTTATTGTAAAAATTAAGTATTTAGGATAAAAAATGAGCAATACGTGTTATTATTCAGATTATTCGCAATTCATCCCCTGAGAGGAAAAAATATTATCAGGGCATTAGCTGTGGCCTTATCTGGAAATGCTACTAAACTTCTAGAAGATGGTATAATGGCTTACGTTGCGTTTAAACTCCCGCTTAATCTCACACGCCTTTAAATCCCCCCACGAAATATATTTAAACAGAGTAATATAGTTCAAGTTCTCCGAAAATGCGCAATTACTGTGTGGGATATAGAATAGAGAACAGATATTATTTCAAATCCAAAGGAAAATTATGTATACTTCTCGGATGACCACAGCAGTGACAACTATAACAGACGAGAAATAGAGAGAGAGAGAGAACCTAGCTAGAGTGTATCCGGATGTTCCTAATATACAAACGAAGTCTTTGCTTAGCTTTCTGAACGTGCTACAGCTTATAATAACGTCCTGTTCAAAATATCAAATTATTCTAGTTATTATTTTAGTCTATTATTATAGTTCTACTAGTTATATATATATATATATATATATATATATATATATATATATATATATATATCAATATATATCAATATATATCAATGTATTTGATACTTCTTAACACAATGTTTTAACATATTTTTTATATAAATTGCTTTTTTAGGACAGAAAGAGAAACTTTCACTAAATAATTATGGTTCAATTAAAATGTTTAATCGTTAAATTAAACATTTAATTAGTGTTTCAATATCGACTACTATCTACCAATAAATAATTTACATATATTAATTGCTATCATCACATTAAATTAGTATAATGCATTACATTTACACTTTATATATACTCTTTATTGCACATAAAAAAAAAAAAATTACAACTATAAGAGAAAATTGAAGGCAAAGGTGGACTTATCTCTAAAAGAGATCTCTTCCAGTCAACCTAGGAGGTGAGAAAGATTGTCATTTAGCAGAGCAGAAACGTGCAATGTAATATGGAAATAAAGTACAAAAAAATATACACACAGTATATATAAAAATAACATACTACTACTTCACCCACTTTAGTATAATACAAGGTTGGATTAAAACTCACATCATCAATTCTACTTTTGAACAAATTTTTGGCTTGTGCTAAGTGAACTGCCATTTCTAATTCAGGTTGTTCCGCTTTTACATCGATCATTGCTAAACAATATTTTCCTTGTATCTTGACCACGCTGCCTGTATCCAATTGTACTCTAGCTCGGACCCCTAAACACTGGTCGAAGTCGCCCAACTGTACGCCATTACCTTGTAACAACCCCGAGGGAATCTTCGCTGTTGCATCGAGCACTGTAATGAAAAATTCCACTTTTGTTCAAGTATGTTAACCCTGTGGGAGCGGTACGACCGTTCACAAACGCAAATGGACTTCTCAAGGGCACTTTTGTGTCCATTGTCTGTTTTATTTTTTATAGAATAATGTAAATTTGAAACTCATTTAATAAATTCCTTATAAAGTAGCCCTTTTTTCGTGATTTACGAGATCTAAATGCTTAGTCTAATCTAAATGTTTAATCTCAGGCTTACTACATCTATTAATATTTTTTTAAATATAGTTAATAAATAGTGTGTTACTTTTTTTAACAAAAAAAAAGCCAATGAACTTTACTACATATAAATTCATAAATAATACGTTAGATAATGATTATAATTTAAGAAAATTAATAAACAAAAGCTGATATTATGCGAACTTCATTGCTTATATTGACTTAACGAAGTCCCATGGTAACATGATAACAGCTATAATAATATTTATATTGTAATAAAAAATAAATATTTAAATGGAATGTTTTATTATACTATACCAATTATTATTATTCCCTCAACGACTGCGGACACGCCGGCGTTACAGTTAACAATAGATTTCTTAAAAATTTAATTAATTTCTTAGAAATTTACCTAGAGGTGGCAAAATATTAATATACTCACTGTTTAGAGCCCATAGTTTGGATCCACGTAACTGTCTTAATAGAATTTGTCCATGACGTCGACATTCTGGGTTGTGTATACGAGAAAAATTTGGGGCAAAAGTAGGCAAAAATGCGTAAAAATCCTCAAATTCACTTTGAAGTAAATTACGCCGCAGTAAGGCCTCTGATAGATGTTGAACTCGATTATCTGTACTTAAACGTTTTGTAACATTTTCTTTATCTTGAGTTTCATCCAAATCAGTTTTTGTCTCCTCTAGAGGTGGAGATAACTGTTTCTTTACTTTAGGTATAGTAATTTTGATAGACTTTTCAGGTTTCTTTTCTATTTTAATTTCTTTGTTGTCTAATTGCTTACCTTTAACTTGAATATCATCTTTTAAAGCCTTTTTTTCCAAAATTGGCTTAAGACTTATTGACTCCTTTACTAAGTTCTCTTTAATTTTATATTCAGTCTTTGATTTAAGTTTTTCACCATCTTGTAAAACTTTACTTGATTTCACCTCTTTGTCATCACCTGTAGAATCTTTAACTTTCAAGGGTTTTTCTTTTGATTTCAGATTTTCTTTGATAATATCTTTAGGTTGCAGTGTCTTGGCTTTTAAATCTCTCACTGGAATTTGCTCCTTTAAACGTTGTTTTTTATCTTCTTCATCACTATAATCATCAACTTTACTTTCATCTTTATCTTTTGTTTTAATTTTTGGTAAAAGTTTTATATCTTTGTAGGAAGAAAGAAACTCCGTTTTCTTTTTGGCTTCAGGTTCTTCTTTGGCACTTTTTGGTATTGGTTCGTCATATTCGTCATCGTCTTCGATATCGCTATCGTCGTCATCGTCAAAATCTAACACTAGCGATGGTTTTTTACCTTTAATTTTTTTTTCAGAATCAGTTTTTAATTTGACATTTTCTAAAGTAGCTTTCTCTAAAACCCTCTCATCGTCTTCATCATCATTGTCCTCTGAGTCAAAACTAGTTTTACCTAACTTTTCTTCAATCAAAAGTCGTTTATCTTTAAGTATTTTCTTAACATCATCTAAACGTTTAACACTTTCTTTTTTTAATTTATAAGAAACTGGGTCAAGGCCGCTATCACTCACATCACAATCCTCACATTTATGTCTTCGAAAATCGGATTTCACTTCATGGGAACTTCCAGGTAACCGTACGCGAAATGCGCTTATCACTGTCACTAATAAGGGAACGGTGAGTAAAATTAGAGCTAGCGTCCATCTGTGGCACACCATGGCCGACGCGTGAGACGCTCAAGGCGCCATCATACGTCCGACTGAAACGTATTCAGCCAAAACCCTGGCGCTATTTGCGTCGCACACGCACCACTTGAGCGGGAACCTACGGTTATTTCATTGATGGTAGTGAACTTCGCAACAGGACGTAATTTTTATTTGTTATCAAACGTTTTTAGTAGCAAAATATACATTCCCGGCCGGAGTTAATTCGAGTATACGGACACGAGGGCACGCTTTATGGCTTACGGCCAAGATTACAAGAGTAAAAATAGTGTTGCAGAAGCGATTGTCCCGCCCGCGAGTCGAATTGATGACGACTGGATTGATTTAATTACATTAAAGTGATTGATTGACATATTACATTTATGTTATACTCTTAGTTGACTATGAAAAATCTTAATGTATACATATGCAATTGCATGGATAAATTTATACATAAATTAGAGCACAAATTGTATGTTACTGTTTAAAATGTTATTATAATTAATACAAAATTATTAGTATTACAGTAATATTGGGGGTAATAATTTCATTACATTATTATTTATAAAAAATAATGATAAATAATTAATAATTATTTTTTATTAATTAATTTAAAAAAAATGTTTTTCTAAAATTTAATAAACATTAGAGAAAACGAGTATGAAATAGAAAACTAGTATAAATAACTAAGTAATAAGGAAAAATATATAATTGACTTTGCCAAAAAACATATTATGTCACACCTCCTCACATAATTTTAATATTTATTTTTATAACCTCCACGTATAAAATTTTTGAGTTCAAATGTTAGTTTGTAACAAATATTACATAACTGAATATTTTAACGTATGTTTTTCTTTTAAAATATTTTCGAGTAATTAATTAACGATACCTAAAAAGACAATAGTGAGTGAAGGTCTGTTCCATCAATTGTATTTTTACTAATCCCTGGCTTTCGCCCTTGAGTGTCGCAATCCACGGTTGGCAGTCAGTACAATGTATGACCTCATACTTATTTCAACTCTAAAAACTAAATGAAATGAAGAATACAGAAGTACGACTCAAGTAAGTACATCCACAACGAACACATAACATCACATCACATAATTTACAATCTGCGAATCTATAATAATAATAATAATCTATAAATTCATAGCTAAAAGTAGATTCGTGTGAAGTATTAGATTAAAAAAATGCTAATTTATACAGATATAAAGATTATTAATTATAAATTATTGAACGATCGTCTGGCAGTAGATATTACGTTTGTATCAGAAATCAGTATATCTAATATGGGGCAATTTTTGACATTCACAGTATTGGTAACTCTCAGTACAGCCAGAAAACACTATAATGCAGAAAGTAAAGCTTTTTTTATTTACTATATAATTTATTAACTTTTGTGTATGTATGTATATCCTTATTAATTCAATGCAAAAATGTTTGCTAGTTTATTAATTTATTTTTGCATAAAAATAGTTTAAGTTACTATGGGTATATCATTTAGTCTCCGAGGAATACAATCGCTTGCAAAAAGTAACTTAGAGATACTAAACCCCTGACCCCTTTAATGTTCACCTTGTCCGTGGTAGCTGGGCTGGTGTGGGGACAGCCGAGTGAGAAGCTAAGAGAAACACTGGGAGGTGGCCCAATTCTGTGGGTGGTGTACTATGCTGGTTGCTCCTGGTACTTCTCTGACAGAATGGACCGATGGCAGCGGTCCCTTAGCTGTGTGGTCTGTTTCGACCTGTCATTGGGTTGCCGTGCTTGAGTGCGTAAGCGATCCTGCGACGCCATATTAAGACGGGATAAGTTAGATTGGATTAAATGGGTAGTACCGGCTTTTCTAGCCGATGAGCCCTACATAACCACCTGAACGTATACAGGTGGTATGCGTAAATGCATTTCCCAATATTAAAAAAAGGATAATAATAATCATATTGCGTCAAAAAGTGATTCTTTCACCATTGAAAAACTACATTAAAAAAAGATATTATCAAATATTATTAATTAAGTTAATTATTATTAAGTTAATTATTATTAAATTTAGACATTAAGAAGCCACATGACCCAAATGATAATACGCTATTTTATATGCCTATCTATACATATAATAAAATTCTAACTGAGTAGAATCTGTACATTAAATGTTTTTTGGAAAATCTTATTGAAATAGTCATTGTTATCGATACAGAGGCCGAATCTATAGTTTTTAGAATTTTTGTCTGTCTGTCTGTCTGTGACGATCACGAGAAAACATTGGAGGGATTTTGATGAAATTTAGTATGATGATAGCTGGTTATCCGGGTCAACATATACGATACTTTATACTGAGGAAAAATGTTTTATTTCTGAGAAATCTACACTAAACGTCGAAACGTACCTAAGGACGAACCCGAGCGGAGCGAGGGTGAGTCGCTAGGTTTCCAAATAAAATTGTATCATAGTTATGCCGCTCTGCTACTGCTCTACTATGACTAAAATACGTGTGTTAGACCTTAGGTACTTATTTTTGTTTTGGTCATATAGAGGCATTACAATATTGTTGTAACAACAATACCAGTTAAAACAAAGCAGCTTCAAAATAGACAAAATATTGATTTTAGCAAGCAATCATCGTGTTGAAACATTCTTTACTAATATTTGAAATACTTTTTATGATTTTATTTCCCATAAATACAATTAATTCTTGTATTTATTGGATTTGAACCCGCTGCACTTAGTTTCCTAAGTAAGCAAGTTACCACTATGCTAGCTCTGCCTAAAAATCCAAAATTATTAGAGAAATATTTAACGATCTCGGGTTCGATTCCTGCACCGACCTAATATTTTTATATCCCTAATGTTATAAATGAAAGAATTTGTGAGTGTGCGTTTGTTATTTCTGAACGCTGTAAAAAATAATCGAATTCAGGGTAATTAAAAATGGACTATCTTATCTAAATTTACATGCACGTTGGGCTTCATCTACATAATATGTACTGTAGGTATTTGCCACGCGATTAAAACTGCTTACGACGACAATTAGTAAATTTTGTAAATGTTTAAGTAAACTTCATAATTAAGGTTTAAGTAAGGTTAGAAACTGAAAACTGTAATTCAATATCCACCCACAATATAGACTGAACAAAAAACGAAGTGAAAAGTCATTCAATTTTTCAATCTATATCGGTATAGAAAATACTAGGAGTGGAATAATAAAATCATAATAACTGAGTCTAATATGGTAGATTTTGGCAACCTTAAGACTAAATTATACAGGATTGATTTCTCATACAAAATTTCATCCCAATTTTCATCCCCTCAAAGGACGATTTCCGGTATAAAAATTATCCTATGTCCTTCCCAAGATCTCAAACTATCTTTTTAATAAATTTCATCTAAATCAGTTCAGTAGATCCAGAGATTACCCCCTACAACGTCACAAACTCATAAACTTTACCTCTTTATAATATTAATATATAGATAATCATATTATGTATATCTCGCCGATGATCGCGGGTTCGATAATGCTCGGAATAAATATTTATACTGACCACTTTATATGTATGCATATGTTCGGTATACGAGGTATTTTACGCTCATCGACACAGAACACCCTTACATAGTTTACAAGTGATAATTGATATATTTATAATTACTTTAATTACCTAATAATTAAACTCATTATCATTAAATTAATTAAAAAAACATTAACTATCTAAATGCATTTAAAATAAAATACATAATTTACTTTTTAGCATTTAATATGCGGTTTTGTGATCACTAGGCCCTGGAGGTATAAAGAAGTCCTGCTGTGAAGATAATAACATCTTATGAAGTCATTAATTTATTGCCTTTTGGACGTATTACACCATGATAATCTTTATTCTTATGTTTATACTTATATTATAAAGAGGTAAAGTTTGTGAGTTTGTGAATTGTAAGTTTCTGACGTTGTAGAGGCTTATGATATATTTTAGGTATAAATTGAATAAGTCCAAAAAATATCGTTATCGATAAATTCAGAAACTTTGCTTTAAAATCCTGTATAATATATGTATGTATGTATGTATGTAGATAAAAACATCGTCATGTAACCTCTAACCTTAATATTTGAGTGTATGAAGCATTTACCTCTGGGTCTGGGTTAAACGCCAGCCTTGACTTACTTACATCACTTTTACTCTCGTATGATTATTTACGATGCAAATAATCGCCAATATGTTTAAGCTATATGTAAAATAATATAGATATTGTGATTTAAAAATTTAAATCAAAAACGCTTTTTGCTTTAAATGCTATAATAAATATAAAATATGTAATATTAATGCACTTAATTTACCGAAAGAATATATAATAACTACTAAAAAATTTGATTCAATTTTCATGTTGGCTTTAAAGTGTATCAGTTGAGCACAGATTACTTCATTAATGTCAAGAAGAATGAACAAAACACCAAACTAATATATGTACGAGTATGTATGTTTAGCGAATTCGATTGAATTAAAAGAAATTTTTATTTGGGAGGCAATTTTTGAAGTCATTAATGGCGAGATTCATAGATCGCAATTAAAGTAAATCTTACTTTTTGAGGAAATTCAGGACATAGCTCATCAAGCTGGTCAATCAGCTACTATATCCTGATTTCCCCTGTGATTTCAACTGCGGGTTAGTGGACTTCACATGTCTTTCGAAAATTTGCTAATTTCTCTCAGACATGCACATTTCCTCACAATGTTTTGCCTCCAAGCCAAGTGATAATTATATTGGAAAATGATTGGCACATGAAAATATGAGAGGTACGAGAACCGGATTTACCACTAAGTCAGTGGTACACCTGTATATTTCAATTATTTTAACAAAAACTAAGTTGATCGATAAACTTACATTATATCTTTTAATCGACTCAGATGTAACGAAATCAAACCATTTTATATTTTGTAACATTACATTTCCCATGCAAATCTTCCATCTATATATAACTAAAAATAATTAATGCTTGTATGTGCAGTTCCAATTAAATCATTGATCCA